TGAAACCCTAAGCCCGGGATTGGATAGGGCAAACGGGTGCAGAACTTTGAAAGAAGTTTACAGACTGAGAAGAGGAGGTTATAATGGGAGGTCCACTGTGCCGATGCTATGGGATGCGGAGAGGAAGGAGGTGATTTGCAATGAAAGTTCTGATATAATCGAATTGTTCAATTCGGGCCTAAACGGGTTGGCTGAGAATCCGGGTTTGGATCTCTCACCGCCATTGTTGAAGGGAAAGATTAAAGAATGGAACAGCATTATATATCCCAATGTCAACAATGGAGTTTATAGGTAAAAATCCATATGCTCGTCTTTACAAAACGAGTCTGTGTTTCTCTTGAAAATGTCAGTTACTGCATTCTCTTTCTTGTAGTTGTCAATTTTGATCTGCAATCTATCCAATTTTTCTGAAGTTCATGACATGATTCTACAGATGCATTATGAACTATTATTCTTGTCCATTTTGTTTCTTTTCTCAAGAGTATAGTTGTTCTGGATGTGTATAATTGTTCTATAACACTATATAGTTTGCAGATGTGGATTTGCACAGAGTCAAGAAGCATATGACAAAGCTGTCAATGAGCTATTTTCAACTCTCGACGTGTTAAACGATCATTTGGGCCGTTGGCGATTCTTGTGTGGCGAAAGCTTGACTCTGGCTGACGTTTGCTTGTTTACAACCTTGATTCGGTTTGATCTGGTGTATAATGTTCTGTTTAAATGCACAAAGAAGAAACTGCTTGAGTATGCAAATCTTCATGGCTATATGCGAGACATTTATCAGGTAAGCTGTTCTTTAACACTGAAAATGCCTTTTCATTGGACTAACTACTGAAAGCTACCCCTGCTAAGTGTGCATTAGAAGTAAAGTTTCACTGCTATCTTGCATATGGTTCATGTGTCCAGGTTCGTGAATCAACTGAATATCAAAATTCGCCCGTGATGGAAGAGTGTCGTATAGATTAAACGATTATACTTAGCTTAACAATCTGAACTTTTAGAATCAATGTTAAGCAGTCTAAATCCAAGTAAGCTATGGCCTATGATCCAACGGATCCCTTCAACCAGTCAATCATGCTTTCGTCAGGCAATTCTCGAGATTGGAAGATTAGAATCAACTCCCAATTCAATTTAATATCTTTTAGAAAATATTTGAAGTCATGTTTGCTATTTTCTTGACTTTTAAATTCAAATTTGCTACATTTCAACTTCTTCTAAAAGTTTTTAGCTTTAATCCTACATATAAGGGATCCTGATTCTCAGTTCTTAGTAGTGTGCTTGGCTTCTATTTCCATATCTACTGACTCTTCTTCTTGTTCGTTCTTAACTTCCATCATCCCTAATCAGTAATCAATGTAATATTACTCTTTCATCAGATTCCAAAGGTTGCAGCAACTTGTAACTTTACAGCAATAATGGATGGCTACTACAAAACATTGTTTCCACTAAATCCAGGAAATATTCGACCAACCATGCCTACCAGTTGCTATCATGAAGCACTATCAGTACCATCCAAAAGGTAGTCACTGCCATTAATAGACAGCAGCAAGCAGGTTTCAGTTTGATAGAGGTAATTCACCAATACATTATAGTTCAGGATTTATATATATGTATTTTGGATACTGTCTTATTTCCCAGCTAAATTTAAATCTAATTCTCGACGTCTGTTGGGACGGTTGTGTGTGTCTGTCAGTAGTAAAGAAACCAAATGTATTTCAGAGGGCTTTTATAGAACATATCTGTCAGTATCTGGGTTCAACCTCTCCAACTGACTCTGTATCTAAGAAAGTACAAATAATAAAGGAAATATAATTTTGTATATTGAGAAAAAATTTGAAAATAATTAGGTTGAGACTCCTTCACAGGGAAACTCAAGACCTTTTTGTGATATGCTTTTCTAATTCGATGGATAGATCTTCTCAGAATCTGTCTCGTTTAGAATACTACCAACCAAGTTTGAATAATTCTTTTCTAGCCCTAAGAGGTAGAACATTCCAACTATGGTCAAACACTCTCAAGTCTCAAGAGGAGAAAGTAAAAGAAAAAATACTCTTGAATTGTGTTGTGTGTCAAAGTGGTAAGGAGTATTCATATGATTTTAAGACTGTGAGTTTGTTTTCATTTGTCAAAGTTCGGTTTCTTATTTAAAAAAAAAAAATTTATGAAGTTAAACTCATAATTAATTAGAAATTATTTACTTGGAACTTAACTTCCAAAAATAATAATATTACTATCATATAAACCTCTCTGTATTTTGATTCTAAAAGTAAAATGTTACGACATTCAACTAGAGAAAATACTACAAGAAACGAAAACTTCAAGAGGGTTCGAGGAAAAAAAAAGTAGAATCTTTGCAATGCTGAATTTCAGAACTTATACTGCTAATATGATGTTTATCCTCCAAACTGAAGCAACAAACTTGCATAAATTGTAGTAGAAGACATCATGGGTTTAATGGTAGTAGAAGTAGAAGGAATAGAAAGAAAGAATTGTGCATGAAAATTTTCTACGTTACCTGAGAGTTTAATCCTATATCACTATTTAGGGCTATCCTGTACAGGATCCTCATCATCTGCAACGCTTGGTGTTTGCAACTGAATTATCTGATCAATGACATCATTCATCTGCTTACTCATTGCTTCAATTGCTTGATCATCTTCCATATTTTCAAGCTCCCGACGTATCAAAATCGTTACAAAGGATGCCTCAGACTGCAGACCTCCCGGTCCAGCAGGCATTATAGCAAAACCAGAAGGTCTCAAAAACACACTGTTCCTACAAAACCTTGGCACGAAAGAGAGATGAATGTCCATTTCAGTCATTCTTGTTGATAGGACGAAGGAGCAATATTCATTCATTGAAGTCTCTTGTAGGAAAAACTCAAGGTCCTGTCATGATAAACGAACACAACAATGAAGTACAAGTTTTGGGCAAGTATGAGGTAAAGAAGTTTATGTAAAGATAAGCACCTCATCTCCTGTTTCAGATTTCATACATAAAGTAATGCAATTTCTTTGATCTTCTGTAAAACATGCAACCGCCATTTCCAGCTGTTCTGGGTGCATTATGCTCAGCCACTGTGCTAGTAGTCATGTAAGTAAGCCTTTTTCTAAATATATAATGTTTAAAACTCGTAAAGCTAAGGAGCGTACCTGAAATTTCACATTATTTCTGGCCAGAAATTCGAAGAGTTTGGTGGGGCTTTGTGAAATATGTATGGTACTTGTGGCAATATAATCATTTTGGTAGCCAATGCAACTTGCACTCATGTCTCTCGAAATCCTTATTTTATCAGTAGTAAATAACTCCCATTTTCTTTCGCTTGGAAAAGGATTAATTCTTTCTAAATACATTCTCTTCATGTTCTCCGTAATTCTCAAGAGTTCAGATATCTCTGTCATTCCAAATCATTTATTAAGATATATAAAATAGCATGAGAATTCAAAGCTAAAAAATTAAGAAGTACGGATACGGACACGACATATGATACGACACATACATGATAGCAAATCATTTTCTAAAAATATAAGACACGGACACGACAATGATACGTTTATTAAAATTTGCAGTTTTCTTAAGTATAGATCATTTTTATTCTAGAAGAAAATTCGAAGTCAATAAGTTTATATAAAAATTTATTATTATATTAAGTGTTGGAGTGTCTGATACGGATACGTTACACAAACGAAAGTGTTCGTGCTTCTTTAAGCTCAAAGTTACTACCGTGATAAAATTCAAGTGCTTCTACAAAATTACGTAATCATATCCTCTTCCTCTAACTTAAACTCGGAAAAAAAGACTATACACCATACCGTGAGTTTTTTTTAGCACCCCTGAAGCCATTAACCTGCTACGTCTTCGATTCAAATTATGTGACAAAATGCTCACCCAGTTTTTTGCAGTTAAAGTAAAGTTTGACAATGCATTTTTGGGGACATCAATCACCTCCACCTCTGCATTTTCAACCCATACCACCTGTAAAAAATAAAAGCAAACAAAAGTGAGGCAGAACAATTAAATTTCGTATTTAAATCTTATTTGGATCATTAAATTTCTAAACTTTTAAATGTCGTTTATTTTTTGGGACTAAGTTTTGGGGGAAAAAAACTATTTTAATATTTTTCATTAATTTTATTTAATTATTTAATAAAAATCTTTATCTACTTTAAAACTTGAAGAATACCTCATTCAATCTAGACATTTTCTCATCAAGTACATAAACAAACCTCAGACTGTTCATCACGCTGCCGAATTATCACTCCTGATGGCCTCCGCTTGTATTCAATTCTCTGTGTAGGATCACAGACTGTATCCTCGAAATAATCAGTTGACACATCGAAAATTGCGTAGATATTTTGGCTGACCAGTTTCTTAAATCTCAAAAAGCAAGTGCTCCATCTCGGCAAGAATTCAGCTGGCAATCTAAACTGGGCATTGACCTATCATATGATAAGTTTAAGATTTTTTTGCTTCCATGTCCATATGGATGAACTATCGTTGTCCATAGTTTTAAAATAAAAGGTGATTGAGCAGGTTTGGTTACCAATATAACTTCTGTATCAGCTGTCGACAAGAATGTTCTCAAAGGCTTGAGAACAACCTCATCTGATCCATGACAAATGATGTGGGAAAACGTGGAAGCCCATTTCTCCTATAAAAATAGTGTGAATAAGGTTGCAAAATGTCAGTAATATATATATAAAAGATTTAAATATACTGTAACCTATCAACTTAAAGATTTAAGTGGGTTATTTTTCCTCTACGTCGTATAATTGCCTATTTATCCGCGTTGAGCTAATTTTCAAGTCTATATAGGAAGAGAGTGTTAAAAATATGTAGAAAAGATGAAATATATCATAATTTACCAGTAAAGAAACAAAAGGATCGTATGGTATGAAAGAAAGCTTGCTGCAACTGATCGATATAGAAATTCAAGGCCAGGTTAAAGGTATCTCACCGCATCCATCATTAACGAGATCAGAAAATGTGAAGGAATAGGAAGAATTGCACTCTCAATGGAACATTGAACTGTAGATCCATGAGGTGGTGGAGTGTGGAACATCTCTTGGAACTCCTCAATTGAACCTACCATTGGAGGGCTCAAAACCCAAGCGTTTTCTTTGGAAGCTAGTGTCATGAATTCCTTGTAAGCGGCTCTCACGATATTATTTACCCTTTGCACTTCCAGGAAGTCAAGGCCATCATTAAAAAAAATGTCCATCGACGTACCCGGTGGACTCGTCTGCAACACCTAGGAAAAACGAAAGACCTGCTGTTTAATGTTTGTTTCTGTTGTTTAATGTTGTCCAATTGCAGTTCAGGAAGCAAAAAAGTCCAGAATAGCAACGAATAATCGTTGGTAGAAGCAGAACATACCGCAGATGCATTAGGTGAAGCTGCAAAATCCTTGTCAGAGACATTGTTTTCTGTATTAGACTGTTCTTCACGATTCGAATTTTGTTCCATTGATGGTTGGTGATTTTGCCAAATATCCCGCAGCCTTTGGGTTGCCTGAAGTGAAAAGCAAGAGATTATAGCATTAACTTATGTGACATAATTCGGATCAAACTAAGTGATAAAACTTCGTAGCTGGCTTAACATGTTTCCTAATGACTCATCTATAAAATAAAATAGAACTTCAGCGAAGGCTCCAGCGAAGAATTCTTTGAATCTTTGATCATTCTTAATACTGCTCTCTCATTGCTGTCAAGGATGATTCTAGGACATAATAGGCTAATCACCATCTTTTAAAAGAGAAAATATATGGATACTGCCATCTTTTTGGAAAAGCACCAAAATTCTTTAAATTCTTCATTGCATACACTACCTTTCCAAGTCCCACCTTAGAAGTTGGACGACACTACAGAAAGTATTGCATTACACTGGATGCTCCTGACTCATATCAGCATCAACAACTGGACAACACTGCTAAGATATTTCCAGGAGAGGAACTGAGGGCAGAACAAAGGAAGTCAAATTAGAACGGCAAAAAATAACGACGAAAGACCTTGGACAACGAAACCAGAGGCCAGATTATAGAGTCCAATCTAGTTTTCATCATTTCTCTCTACTAAATATCATCTTTACAAGTGTGGATAATTTCTCCAAAACAGTCTAGATTGCTCTTCTTTTCACCTAATGTGACTTAGAAACGCTACCTTTTGATGGTAGGCTAAGAAAGGCTCTGTTCATAATTTCCATTCTTGGCTCATAGTCTGAATTTTAAGGCTTTGATGACCATCCACTGTTGCGATTCAGAACTAACACAGACAGAAATATCGGAATATGCTCCAGTAAAAAGAGTACAAAATGGTAATCGGCTTAACTATTCCACAGTATTCAAAACGAACCGTGGCTTTAGCGTTTACTGTTGATCTTTCAAATAAGAAGTGAGCTTACGATTATACATTTCTATCAATAAACCCCAAGAAAGAATCATCAAAGAAACGCTCGTCGTCTTTCGAGTTCTCTAGGAAAAAGATTGTGTGCAATAATCCGAAAGTCCAAGTGATCAAAGCAAAGAGATAGTAGACTAAAATGTGGGCTCACAGCCAAATTTCTAGCGACGAAACAGAGAAAACAAAATTCCCAAGCAAGATAAAAAAAATTACGGCGAATGGCATAATTATGACAAAAGAGCATATGATAATACTTGAAAAAGATTCGAGGATTGGTTTGAGCACCTTCTGAGTAAACGGTTTGAGCCTGGTGCTACCTTTAATGGCAGAATAGCGGGGGGGAGAGAGACGGAGGAGCGAGAGGGAAGTGTCAAACGCGGGATTCTGTGGATTCGCGTCCGTATATAAAGTTTTGGGGTCAGTTAAGGGCACGTCACTCGCACCATGATTCTCTCTAATTCAAATATCATCTAATAAATTATATAAAGTTTAAATTAACTAAAAATTTCCTATTAAAGAATTCTCAAATTTATCGATCTAAGTAGGTTGTTTGAGCGTTAGTAAGATTTAAAGTTCGAATTTTTTTTCTCCATGGTTTCCGTGCTATATTCTTTCAAAAAAAAAAAAATCTAAACAAAGTGGATATTACTCTCATTTATTCATATTCAACGTAACTTAAAAATAATATGGGATCAACCTAACTTAAAAATAATAATGTGGGATCTGCTAACATTGATAACTGAAGATTGAGGTTATTACTTTCAAAATCATGAAAAAATAAAATAACATGGAGTGCAACAATATTACATAATTATTTTATTAAAGAAAATTCATAGTATGAAAGGAGGGAGTGAGTTACTAAAAATAATTTTATAAAATTATATATCCAAACTCAATTAAAAATATATATCTAGCATGATCAAACGAATTAATACATGTTGATATTTAATTCAAGGCTAATAACACGATAGTCTAAAAATAGGACCTCTCTAATCTGAATTGCTACGAAGAGTCTTGTCGATTCGAATCGGTACATGCATGTCGGAAACTAGCACCTATCATGCGTTTGCAATCCTTTCACCATAGAGTTTTAACAGAAAAATGTTGTATGTATCTAATGCAAGACACGTCAATAAGCTAAGGCTACGACATGAAGGTGAAGAAGTCCATTCAATTGTTGTTTCGTCTTCGCCCTCTCGTGCACCTACCTTAGGTGGGGCCGATCCTGTGACTAAGATAGTCACGCCAGATCATCTGGTCCGTCCGGTTGGGCTCAACCTTAGAGAAAGGTTGAGTGAACAGGAAAACGGAGGTCTTTCGCCAGCCAATGTCTTCCAAAGAGTATCGGGTGTCGAGAGAGATCTTCTTCATGGATCAACGAAAATATGCTAAAGCTCTATTTGTCTCTGTCATTCTAAATCCATGTGGCATCATGGAAGTGGACCACGTGTTTCACCCATAATAATAACTATAATAATAGTCTCATTCATAATTAAGAAACTAAACTTAATTAATTGAGAGTGGTCCAAATCTCATAATACCAATTATTGTTGAATTATGCTCATGCATGTTATAATTACACATAGATATTTTTCATTAATTAGACTTGTTTTAGTACATGTGTAAGCACCTCAATTAAATTAAAATTATTCTTCTTGGTAAAATAATATTTGAGGTACAATTTTTTATATTCAGTAAAAAGTAAAAACATTTATTGATAATGTATAAGATAATATCATAAACATACTTTTACTTAATTTTAACTAATTCATGTGGTATATATATTCACATAATGTGAATATAGTTGAGTGATTATACCATCTAAACTTTTTATAAAGTTGAGTTATACTCATATCTCACCCATATCAGATCTAAACTTTTTGTTAAGAGAGTTTAGTACAAAACAATGTATCTTAAACAATTAATCTTTAAATAATCGACTTTTTAGACTTTACAAAATTCAAATTAAAAATTATATAAAATCAGAATAATTTTTTTAAAGTTTGACTATTTATAGAGAATAAAAAAAACATTTGTACATTAATATATATAGAAAAATATTAGATAATGTATAAATTAGAAAAGAAAAATAAGATTTGAACTAACCATTAGATCAAAGAGACTAAAAATGTATATATAAATTGAAAAGAAAATATATTTTTTAGATTCAAAATGGTGAAGTGTGGTAGTTGCACATTTAAAAGTGTTAGAAAAACAATTAGTTTTAGAAATGAGAAATTACAGTGAATATCAAAAATCTTTTATGTATTTCAAAATATGTCACGTGCTTTTTAAATTTACAAATATAACCAAAATTTTCAGTTATATGTGTATTATATGTATATCTCATACATACTCACAAACACTCATATAAGTAGTATATCATATTGCAAGTATATCAAACAATCATACCAGTAGTATATCAGATGCATATCATGTACATATATCAGTAGTCAGATATATTACAAATATATTATAGATGTATATCATTTTAGTAAAGTTGTCATTTTAAAATTTGACTTCCATGTTGTCGTTATTTTACTAATTTTACTTTTGACATATTTGCAACGGTCCCTTTAAAAAACTTGCAGGTTCAAATATTGCACCAAATCAAATATATGTGCATGTCTTTATAGTAAAGACAAAAAGTGCTTGCGGTAGGATTCAATCCCCAACCGTCTTCCATCAACACCCAATTGTCTAGAGGGGCTTGAGCGACTAAACAATTGCAACAACATGAAATTTTATCACAAAATTGTGCTATTAGTACATGTTACAAAGTTGAGGTTGTACATCCGCTCGTGTACCTCATAATTCTTGAACTAAAAAAATAAATTACAAACTCTATTCAGTAATTTGTTGGTTGTGTCTAATAAATTCTTGAATTTTTTTTAATATGAAAATACCTCGACAGCAGATAAGATACATTGCTCATTCGGTAAAATTGGAGGTCAATCCTCAATTCTTGCACTAAACAAAATTATAAACTTTCATTATTACTAGGGATGTTGACAAACTCCATTAACCCAACAACTAAACTCTTGAATACTCATAGCTACTGCCACATACAATATTCAAAATATAGAGACACGTGAGATAAAGTTTAGAAATTTATTAAACTGGATACTCAAAATTCAATGACTAAACCTGTAATTTCACCCTAAATTAATCGCAAAAAATAAAAATGGAGCACTAGTAGACGTGTGGAACCGTACGGATAATGCAAAAGAATTAATATTAAGTCTCACACAGAAGAAACAAGAAAAAGGTCGCAACAGAACAGAGGAGCGAGGCCAAGCCAAAAGGGAGCGAGCGAAACCGACTGTACAGAGAGCCAGCTTGCAAATGAAAAACCAGAGCTCTCTCCCACTCCCCTCCTCAAATTTCAACTAAAACTAAAATCCATCTCTAGAAATTCCTTTTGTTCAAAAGCTCCTCAGGCTCAAACATGGAATCCGAACCTCCACCTCCATCCATTCCTTGAACAAAAAATTGAAATCCCCAAATGGGTTTTCTTCACAAACCTCCATCTCTGTTCCTTTTCATTTTCTCACTCTGCCTCTTGATTTCGCGGCTCTTTTTCTGCGCCATAGCCGCAACAGACACCACAACCCTGGTTTTCAAGGGCTGTTCGCAGCAGAAATCTCAAGACCCGTCTGGGATTTTCTCCCAAAATCTCAAATCCTTCTTTTCCTCTATGATCTCCCAATCTTCCCAGAAACCTTTCTCCTCCACAAGCTCCGGCGATGGCGGAAATGCGATTCAGGGCCTATTCCAATGCAGAGGGGACCTCACACTCCCGCAGTGCAGCGACTGCGTGAGCAAGATTCCGGCTCTGGTGGACAAGCTCTGCGGCCAGGCCGTGGCGGCCAGAGTCCAACTCGCCGGTTGCTATTTGCGCTACGAGGTGGCCGGATTCCGGCAAGTCTCCGGGACCGAGTTGCTGTACAAGGTGTGTGGATCGATTCAGGTGGCCGGAACTGGGTTCGAAGAGAGGAGGAACGCGGCTTTTGAAATGGTGGAAAATGGGGTCAAAAATGGGGGCGCCCTGTTTTACACCGGAAGTTATCGGTCCCTTTATGCGTTGGGGCAGTGCCAGGGCGATTTGGGCGGCGGAGACTGCGGCGACTGCCTAAAGACGGCGGCGGAGAGGGCCAATAGCGAGTGCGGTTCCTCAATTTCCGGTCAGATTTATCTGAACAAGTGCTACATCAGTTACAGCTACTACCCAAATGGAATTCCCAGTATATCTTCATCCTCAGGTAAAATCAAGAGACAGTACTGTCAAAACTTGATAGAACCCTTAAATTTTCTGGTGTGAATATATTTATATTTGTTCAATTTGGGCAGTTCAAATTTCACTTTCGAGATAAAGATAGAGAGAGCTCATGCTTTCCTTTCTTTCTAGAAAATGAGCTCCTACTACTGCTGTGTGAGCACGCATTTGGGGTCGGCAAATAATTGAAATTCAAATCACTATTTCTGTTCTCTTAATAAAGGATGATTTGGAGAGGGAGCGTTGGAAGATTTGGTTGAATAATAATATGAGGTGGTGTGTTTGTGGGTCATATGATCCATTTGGTGGGAATTGGGAGTGCTAAATTATGATCTTTAGTAGTAGTATATTCCATTCTTTGCTTTTCTTCAAAATGGAAACGAAAAGACTCATTCGATATAAAATCGAGAGAGAGAGAGAGAGCTTTTTGGGTCATTTTCAGTTCATGCAAGTATAGAATATGCATTTCTTGGTGATGATTTTCAATTACTTGGTTGATCTGGGTTTCAATGGTGTAGGGTCTGGCCATAATACACAGAGAACAGTGGCTCTTGCAGTGGGAGGATTTGCAGCTTTAGCATTTCTTGTTGTTTGTTTGCTGTTTGTTAGATCAGTACTGATGAAGAAAAGAAGTAAGCATGGAGGCTGACTTCTCTCTCTCTCTCAATCTTTTTAGAGTCTTGTGAATGAAGATAGGGCATAGTACTTTCTCTCTGTAGTTATATTTTATAAGATAGGATTATTATTATTATTATTATAGTGGAAACTATATGATTTTTATGCAGAGATTATATAGAAATTTTAGATGGGTTTTTTAGATCCAATGTTGATTATTTTTTTTCTATGTTAATGAAAAAGAGATGGGCAAAGTTAGGTGGAGATTACATGGAAAACAGTGCTACAAAGAAAGAAAGAAGGACATTTGTCTTCCTCACTTACCCAATCTTTACTTTATAAATCTCGTCCTTTTTCACTTTATTTTTCTTTATCTTGCAGCCATATGACTTAAAGAGCAAGAATGATTTGTAATCTTGTGAGACTCCACTTTTTTTTTTTTGAAGAATTACCATTTTAATCTGTTGTATACATTGGGGCCTGGGAAAAGACTTCATATATATATATAAATAGATTACCTAAACATGGTTAGCTAAGTTTAAAAGATGCATGTTCTTTGGTATTTTCCTTTTTTTTGGCTATTTCCTTTTCTTCTCCCTTTCCCACATGGCACATGGTATGAATTACCTTCATGTCATATCATATTTTTTTCCGAACAAGAGACAACGATAAAAGAGAGGGAAGACGAGAAAAGAGACAATGATGTAACACAAGAAAGAGCGACATGCCCCATTTGAATAAGAAAATCGAGAGATTCTAGTTCTTTTTTAATTTTCAAACAATGTTTTTAGAATAATTAAAATTTGGATGAAAATATGCCTCAATTAGTAAAATCTAGTTAATTCAAAATTTTCACTCAAATTTCGAATCTCTTTCATTCTCATTACCATTAGTGCTCTGCTTTTTTGTGCAAGTGAGAGATCGAATTCACAACCTCTTAGATATATGTCAATTAACACTAAGTTGTTCGCTTTGACCATTAGTGCTCCATTAAATGAAAAAATGGAGTTATTTTTCTAGTTATCTTTATTTATTTTAAGCCTTAGGTAAAGTTTGATTGTCGACTTGAGCATAAGAAGGCTATTGTTAATATCATACTGGTAAATAAATTTACATGGAACGTACCTCAAACATCCAAATTATTTTTAGCAATATCTTGAGGAGTTGAATTACACTCAAAAGGGCAAAATAATTCATATAATTGGATAATCCTGTTATACCAAAAGCACTAAGGTTCTTTGGAAACGGTATTGAAAAAAAATTATGTTATTATGAATACTGAAATCTCTATTCACAAATATGTGACTAAAAAAACCTATTTATGTTTCTTTGGTCAATGCAAACTGCAAAACGCAACGAAAAGAAAATAAACAAAAGAATAATCCTCCATTTACAAAAAGGAATGACTTTACTACTTTACATCCTTTATGGCTGTGGCTGTATCTGTCTTGAATGGACAAACTTTTGCTTTTTATGAACGGACAAGGCCAGCACTCTATGATTATGATTGAAAAACTTTCCCAATCTTCTCCGCCAGCAAAAACTTCATCTGAAATTGCAGTGAACCAATAAAAGAATCTTAGTGCATACAAAAAATGCACAAACTTAGAGATCAGAGAGGAAGAAAGCCATTATTTCTAATAAAAATATCCAATTTGATGACTCTTACTTCATACCTAAGGAAAGATCAAGCCCACCATGAACCATGAAGCTTTTTATTAGCTAATGCTCACTAGACAGCCAAAATCTTTACCTTCTTTCTTTCTCCCCAAAATGGGGGATCAGAAACAAACCATAAAGGCATCTCATAAACTTTTATGGGCATTATAATTCTTCAGTTCAGTCCATATGCTTCAAAATATACTTACTCTTGAAGCAATCAACTCCGAAACTTCTTCCCAAAATTGCTTTGCTTGGATCGTCGAAACTTAACCGACTTTAGGATTCATCATGACAAGAGACAGATTTCATGTACTGAAAGGCTACTGAAAAGTTGCACTTCATAGTATCTCAAGCCTGAAGAAAAGGTCTCTTCTGTTCATTTCGAGTATAATTGTGCAGTTCATTCTTAAAGCTGAATTTACTAAGAACAATGGAAATGATGTTATAGGAGCATAAGATCATATTCTCTACACACAGTTCATCTCCTCGTGCACTCCAGAAGAAAGAGAAAACAGAGCCATTTAAAAACAGGCAAATAGAACAGAACCAGAAACAAAGTCCGAAATGATTATGAGAAGGCGGCTTGTGTTAACAACGTTAAGGATGTTCAATCAAAAAGCACAGAGAAGTGTAAAGAACAAATATGAAAGCTGTAAACAGGACATCGTCCATGTAGTTAACTCTCTCTCATACTGATACAAACAATAAAAAAATGAATACTTCGTCTCTAAGATTGGAGGTGCACAGCACTCGGGTTCACTCTCTCCAAATCCTTCATTAGTTAACACCTCACAAACCGTTGGAAGGGCTAGCCTTTGCAATCCAAAGTTAGCCAATCTAACATTTTCCAGGGACATCCAATCAATGATTCAATATGATCAAATTCCCTTGGGCCAGACCTCTCAATCGAGAGTTTTTTCCCGGCATATCATACAAGCAGGTCTTCTCACTATATCCATCCTAAAATCACATTCCCTCCGAAGGCCTAATATGCTCTGAAAATTAAATAACACAAATCCCCAACAACAATCATGGCTAGAATTAAACAAAGAAAAGTTTCTGCTTTGCTAACCATCTGCAGCATGAAATGAAATAAGGTAATTGCCCTTCATTATCCTTCTTTCATATAGCTCCACAATGGACAAAGCAACTTCACTATAATGCAACCATGAAACTGATTTTCAATTCAATATGCCTCAAGCTCTCATACAGTTAAAAAGCATATCTTAAGCCCCCAGATAAAATCAACACAAGATGGCCTTTCTTGACTATGATGACGTCAATCGAATAACACACACTATACACATGACGAATTAATTAATACTTCCTTTCTGTATGAAAAGGCCAGAGCAACTAATAGACGTGATTGACTTAACAGAAATGTCTTAATTAGGGAACCAATTATAGCAAATAGTCTTACACTTAACACTTGAGAATTGATACTTGCACGTTCAAGCAATGACAATTTATGAGGATCAAGTGTCTTAACTTATGAAGCCAAGACAAGAATATAATAATCAGATGGGGTAATTGAAGACCGTAGAGTAATTGAAGGAATGAACATGATATTTATTTATTTCCATGGCAGGGCGTTGAAATAACAGTGCCTTGGATATTTTGCAAATGGACCATAAAATTGTTGACAAACAATAACCCCATAAAATGCTGCTTATAGTTCATCGAATGCTAAAATTAGGTAGAGAAACCCTTGTGACACTACTGTTACCAAATAAACATCGAAAATCATCCTAGGAGTGAATTCCCACTCACTACCCATCCAAAGCTCTTACAAAAAATAAAATTCAATAGCTATCTTTTTAATAATGTTTGCTCCAGCAGGGAATGACTGCAGTATGCATATATTTTTTTCCCCTTAACCTCTTCTAGAGTGGTTTTATTTCATAACAATTAATGAAACCAGATAAAGAATACCTGAGCGACCCATGATAACTTAAACTCCTTCCCCTTCCGAGGTTGAAGATATTTATTCATTTCCCGGGCATGAAATCAGAGCCACAAGGACGATGCCAGTAACTCCTTTGCTGGCTCGCTTGAATTAAAGTAGCAACAGGGTATCAAATCAAAGTATCCAGAAAAGTCTGATGCACATCACTTCGAAAATTAATCATAGTTATACGGAAGGACGTTCATATACCATCAGGCATCGTTATCAATGTAGATAAATGTATTGGATAGATCATAAATTATTTTCAAAATACAACATCAACTTCATCAAGCCAAGGTATTCTGATTTAGAAGTTAGAACTTAGAAGGGGGCGGTGGGCTCGAAATCTGGCATGTATTATTCTAAATCTCGTACCTCGTAAATAAGGCTTCGAATTTAAAGTATCAATAAACCGATTCATAGTGCATTAAGAACTTGAAGTAAAAAACCACTTCCAATTTCTCCCAATAATGGGACATCAGAAAGTACGAGACAACCAGTTCCTTTGCAACTCATTAATCAACAATCTCGGAACTACCGCTAAGCAACTACTCTATCTGCAAGCTTAAACAACTTAACTAGAGGAGCAAGAAGCTGCTACAAGTGAGGAATTAATACCGATGAGCCTCCATGAAGCACCGACGAGACCGATAACTCACTTATGTGGGGGGCCAACGGATGGGGCTCCAAGGAGGCTAGCTTGCTGGAGCTCGAGCTCGTTCATCTGCTGCTCGCGATCCATCTCGATGATGAGAGGGACAACGAGGATGACGAAAGTGGTGCCGGCGATCCAAGCAGCTTTTCCAGTGCTTCGGAGGAGCTTCTTGGAGACGAAGACCGCGCTCGAAGCAGCCTCTCTTCCTCGAGACACCATGGAAGACTGAGAAAACCTGGAGATTATGCCGTTTTTGTTGCCTTCCGCCTTGGACCCTCGCCGTTCCGGTAGAGATACTCCGCCTTTTCGGGACGCCATGGCAGCGGGACTTCGAGAATAGCTGGAAGGATTGCGGCGGTGAGGGATTTTCTTTTTTCCCCCTTTCTGCGTTTCTTAGTTATTGATTTTCCCTTTTTCTAGAGATTTATAAAATAGGATTATTCAGCCCTATTTTAATGACAAATATGTTGGATGTTTACATATTTTAAACAATTTATTTTAGTTTCTCGACTCTCTCTCTTTTTTTTGTTCCGTATCTCATTTATTAAATATTATATTTTATACCTCCCCTCTATCCATCTATATATATTTTATACATTAAACTTGGAAGTAATGGTAATTTTTTTTTCTAGGTTAAAATCTTGTTTTCCTTCCCATATTTTTAGGGTTTGTTGATTTAAGTTTTTATATTTTCGAAATGTTCATTTTAATTTATATATTTTTAAAATATTTATTTGATTTTCTGTACTTTTAAAAGTGATAATTTTCATCCTTATTTACAAGAGTTTTAATACAAATTATACACATAATATAACTATTTAACCAATTCAATTATACTCAAGTTAACAATAAAATGGAGATGTTTAATGCACGGTGTAAATTATATAAAATAATACATAAGTGATTTATTAAAACAATATATAGATATTTCTTATCGTGCACAATAGGTATACAAATCCATAGGCAAACTTTAACATCTTATTAAGTAAAGACAAATTATCAAGATGTTACAATTACGTATCTATTAATAGGAAATGTAGATTTAAGAGCAGTTGTTAGGAGACTTGCATGGAGATTCAATGTTAGTGGTAGAAACTTTTTTTATGGTCGCAAGTCATATGGAGCTTGTAGAAGTAATGGATTGAAGGCATCCAAAGAGCACATTAAGCTGGGCTGAAGTCAATTGCCCCTTTCTTAAATCTTTTGGAAGCTTGTCGTATGTGATGAACATGTGGCAAATCAACTTCAATTTTTGTTATTAATGAATTCAAAGACCATTTGAGGCGGATTATCGTTTATTGGTTTTCTTTCACTCCATACACTTGTAATTCTGTTGCCCACGAGCTAGCATATCATGCTCGAAGAAACAAACGTTTGCAAATATGGTTAGAATACCACACACCATGAATAATTGATGCTGTCATCAAATATGTAATTTTCCTTTAATCTATTTTGTTATGCCTTTTCTATTTGTACTATGAAAAAAGAGAAACTACATAGATATGATATTTACCAAATTAATTGGAATATTTAAATCGGAGAACGTACAATATAAAAGGAACTTTAAATAAATGGCCTGGTAAATAAAGTTTCGTTTCTTGTTATCAATTTATTAAGAAACTTAGTGCTTGACAATTATTTATATATTTTTTTTTTCATTTTTTATAAACATTTTAAAAATTGTATATAAATTTTGGAAGGAAAAAAAAGTTTATTGTTCGTGATCTCATTTCCAATAAAAAAAAGGTTAATAGAAGAATTGGGTCACTATTTTAGTAAATGATGTAGAGAAGGCTATTTACATTGATCCACAAGAGATTTAGTAAATTCTTGAAATAGTGGAAGCTAACTTGAGGAAAAATAGTTACCCGACGTAATTATATATATATATATAAAATACAGGGAAAGAAGAAGGGATAACGTCATGAACAATCCTAAATTTGCATAAAATTCAAAAAGAATTTAATCTAGAAGATAATATAATTGCATATATGTAAAATTCCCGCAGCAATTCTCCAATTTCTTATTGATGAGGGTCAAGCGACAAGGAGGCAGTAATCCGACGAAAGTCGAGTCTCCGGCCTCTCGGTCGTCGGAGGTTTAAATCCGATGTCTGGTGGGGCCCGCCTAGGGGGTTTCGTGTTATATGAACGTGGGTCCCACGCGGTTCAACTTCCGACGTGTCCAGCAGTGTGATAGGACATGGGCCCCACCTTGTCGGGCTCTCTTTTAGAAACATATAAGTGCGGGCCCCGCTCTTTCCGCTCGAGTGCTTTCTTTTTTCGTATCGTATCGTATACTTACCCGAAACAATATCGTCAATTTATCATTTATCGTGTGCATCTAGCTTGGGACTTCATGGGCTTAGCTAACTATTTTGGGCCATTATCTTATTACAATTTAATTGTTTTAAAAAATGCAAATTATGGTGTTAAACAAACAACTTGTTTTTTTTAGTACAGTAAACAAATAACTTACTGTAATACAGTGCTGTCAAATGATATGGAGTTTTTTTTTGTTGCTGTATCTTATATATCCAACATGATTTTGTTGGTGCTTATCCAACAAGATTAACAAAGGAATTGTCGTCGAGAATGTTTATTTTATCCACCACTTAACGTTATAGCTATTAAAGTCATTACACTTAAAAAATATAAAGTTGGTGCAAGAATAAGATTTGGACAAAGTTTATATCCTATAACCTTGTTTTTTGACTTTTTTTTTTAATAAATTTTGGCTCAATTAATTATTATAAGATCTATTGAAACAAAATTTCTAGCCTATTCTCTTGCTAGATTAGCGGTGGTGAGAAGACTAATAATACTTAATTTGTAAGTTTTGACTATGATTTATGGTTTAGAGTCTAAAATATTGTCTCTTTCATTTCAAAACAAAAACAAATTATGCCTACCAATTTGAATTTCAACTACCACACGTTGAACTTAAAAAAAAATTATGATTGAACTCAAAATTACAAAATTTAAAGATAAATTATATTTAAAAATTTATGTTGGGAGTAAAAAAAACAATACTCAGGTGTTGATGCATCTTTGAGCTGGCCACATTTTTTTATATTTTTGTCAAAATTTTAGTAGTAATCTTTCGAAAAGAAAATGTGTAAATATTTAAAATTGACGATTTATGTTAATTGCTGAAAATAGAAAGGCTAAGGGAGTGTATTGGGCTGGGTTGAAGCCCAATGGGGGGGGGGTGACGTATAAAAACGTAGGCGAGAAACTGAAAATATCAAAAATGAAGAAAAGAGAAGACAATGATGGAGATGGAAGCGCACAAAGCAGACAGGTGGGGCCCGGTTTGTGATAAAATTCAATCAATGCCGTTGCTTCAACTTCAATTTCAATCTCCATCCTCTTCTTCTTCTTCTTCTTCTTCACCATTAAACTTCAAACCTACCATCTTCTCTTTCCCAATCTCCGCCAATTCCACTCTCCACACGACATTGCTTTTTCTTTGCTCGTTATTGTTAGTTGTTTGTTCATTTCCCCAACAACGCTTCCCTTCTAATCAACCACCGCCCTCGCCTCGCCCTCCCTCCTTAAATCTCCCCTTCCACTTTCAATTTCTTCGATCAACCTCTCAAAGACTGAACCCGGCATTTTATGCTCTCTCAAGGACAAGGAGGAGCCGGAGCCGGAGCCGGAGCCGGAGCCGCTGTATCTATGTCGACTATTTCCAAAGATGACAACCTGGTATTCTCGTCTGAGGACTCCTCCTCCCCAGACGACTCTGACATCGAATTGGGCCTAGGGCTCACCCTCCGTGTTCGCGATTCCTCACGCAAGATTCAGAAAGTTGCCATGCTTCAATTTGCCAAAATTTTGACGGCTCAGGACTTTCCTTCCTCCATCTCTTCTCACTCGTCTATGTCCTCATCCACTTCATCCGTGTGTTCCTCGTCTTCGCTTTGTGGACCCAATAATGTCACTACTGGCCGCTCCAACAGAATTTCTGATTCTGCAGCGCCCACTAATGGCGGCAGGTACCGATTACTCATTCTTGCTGATGAGAGGAATTTGTTGAATAATTTACTCCACCTTTTTTGGTTCCCAGCATGCGAGTTTAATTTCTTTGCTTGATCCCTATCGATTTTAGATTTGAATATTAATCCAATTTTTGGCAATATTTTAACGTGCTAAGTGAGCGTTTTATCTTTTCACTTTTGTGTCTCTCTTTCTGTCGTTTAACAGTTTACTCCCGTAGCAGTTAGCTGTGAAGTTGCATGTGCTTCTCTGATTTTGCTTTTCAGTACAAAATTGATTCGAATCTCTGGATATTTATTTTGATGAATCTGATACTGACAGATATGTTTACTGTTACTTCCTTTTATGGTTCCTCTGGTTCACTCTTCCTCATCCGAAAAGCAAACAGTGAGCTGAATATATATGGGGAATCATTTTGAATTTGTTCGGATTGCTGCACTGCCGTACTCCATCTAATTAAATATGATACGGCTCTGAAAATTTTTAAAACTGGCCTTTGTTGCCTTCAAAGGACAAGATACCCTAGATATATATGATCTGACAGCACTAGCACTACACTCTGAAATCTTTTTCCGAAACTTTCCGAGTCATGGCAATTTATAGAGTAAAACTTGAAGTTAACCTTCAAAAGAACACTGGTATTTTTTGCTACAACAAACCTGACAATTTGACCACAAGGCCAATTCCCAAATTTCCATGTTTTGTTGCTTTTATGAACTCTGTGGCATAAACACCTATAGAAACAAGAAAGACATACAAATATGTTTCTGGTCTAGTGTTCTTTGTAGGTTGACTTCCAGTTTTATTGTAAAAATTGCAATGCATTGAAGTCTAAGAAAGGTTTTTCTTTCCACCCTCAAAAAGAATCCTAAAATCTGTCTGGGAGTGTTACAAAGACAAAACCAATCCTAGTTATTGAAGTCGTTTTCCAATTATAAATATGATTTTAAGCATACAAATCTATAATTTTACTTTTGTTCTTAAAAGCAGTTTACAATATAGAAACAAAAACCTATTTTCAAAAGCATATAGCGAACAAGCGCTGATCTTTTACTTTAGAATTCCAAACCTATAGATTTTTGTACACTTCACATTGTACCGTCAAATTAATATTAGTCACAGTACGTGAGAAATTCTTTTAGTAACATAGAGAAGCTAGTTGACTATCTTGCTTCTCAACCATATAGCAAATTAATAAATTAAAAATGAAGTGTGATTATTCTTCTTAACCTTCAAGTTGAGAAATTCCGAGTAACTTAACTAATGAATTGTCTTCTAATTGTAGAATACTAGTCTTTAAAGTTGAGTGAAGTAGATTTTACTTGACTTTTTGGATTAGTAAATGAATTGTCTTTTAGTTTGTGAATACTAATCTTTAAAATTGAGTGAAATAAACATTACTCGACTTTGTGGATAAGTAGTATTATAACAACTTAGTAATACAAGTGTGCGTTAAATGGTGTATCATGTGGATATCTTGGCTAAGTGGATTAATATAATATTACCATATACACTCTAGGGCTTATTTTCATCATTTGTAGGTGGCAATAAGAATAACAGAAGCTGAGAGTGAAGCTGTTTTCAGTTTGGGTGGTATCACGTATGTAGACTAAACACTTTAATGAAGGTTTTTGCTCCTCCATGATATCTGCACATGTTTTAGCCAACTTCCAAATAGTTTCCCAAGACATTTAATGTTCTGTGTAGTTGGCTATCAAGATTTACCTATGACGCATCACAATCTACAGCTTATTTGTTTGGGGTCGGCAAGAGGGTGGTTGCGGTTTTGTAATGTTTGTCTCATGAATTTTTGAAAAAGAAAATTTCAAAATTATTCACTTATATGTAAAATTTGAGCATCTAGAAATGTGTAGAATTGTGTACTCCTATTGCATCAATCTTTTTCTCTCACGTAACTTTAAATTTCACATTGGTCCCCTCTAAATAGAGTAATCTGAAATAAAATGCCTTAATTATGTTATTATAGCTTCGATTTTGGTGAGAATAGGATACTTTCTTGCATTGGATTATATTGTAATATTTTGATATATTTTCAGAAGTAGCCAGGTCGTGGGATGGCCCCCTATCAGAGCTTCTAGGATCAGTACCTTGGTCAACCAGGCAAAACCTCAATCTGGAGAAGAAGTCAAGGTAGATTCTGGCAAGAATAAGAGCAAGCATACGGAGGCAGGGACACTTGATGGTGTTTGTGAGAAAAACAAAGCAAATCAAGAGAGTAGGAATTCCAGAAGTTCTTTGTTCGTGAAGGTGAATATGGATGGAGTTCCCATTGGGAGAAAGGTTAACCTCAGTGCTCACCGCAGCTATGAAACATTGGCCCAGACGCTAGAGAATATGTTCCTAGATCCCACTGCACTAGTTGATTCATCTGGTAATCTTTCTGACCTCTCTGATCTTATGTATAGAAGTGAATTTTGTTTTCAATCTCTGAAATTGAATATAACAAGTGAATGTCCTCTGAAGTTAAATATAATAATGTTGATGCTATCTTCTGCCCTGAATGGAATTAAGTTTTGTGATGGACAATCCTTTGCTTAAAAGATCTGTAGGGTTTACTTAAAAGCTGCCTAAGATGAAGGTACTACTACTAATGTTGAGAATATCTGGAAGAAAGGCCCTCAATCTCTGAAATACTTAAGGCAGCTAGTATCTTTTTGAATTTATTGCATGGGTTCAAACATTTTATTTATTTAGCATGGTTATGAAAGTTGTTCTTTTTATCAGTAGTGAAGAAACAATTTAAACTCTTTTATGAAGGATCGCCTTATTAATTTATTGAGATTTTATCATGAAATTTGTGTTGGTTCTAAAATCAAGTCATAAAGGTAGATACTTTTTGTCTGGTAACCAATAATGCATTATCGTCTGTAACCAGGATCGAGCATAAAGGAACGTGACATAGTGAGACCCTCCAGACTTCTAAACGGACTGTCTGAGTACATGCTTACTTATGAAGACAGGGAAGGAGATTGGATGCTTGTTGGGGATGTTCCTTGGGGGTATGCGTCTTTTCACTTTAGTTATTCTAATTGAAAGTTACCTATCGAAGCAAGAAAATACCTAAAATTTCCCATGTTTTCTGTCAAATACTTGTAATCTCACACAATCTTTTGAGTTTGCAACTCTCTATATTTCATGGTTCTTTCATTATTTTAAAAGGGGTCTTCTTATTCTGTTTCTTTCTTTTTCTGATCTTTTATTTTCTTTCCTTCTTTTTGTTGGTAACTTTCCTTTGGCGTTGGTTCAAGTCTCAAATAATGCAAAATCCTAGGCCAACTTCTTGGAGAGTCATTTTTACTGACATATGTCTTTAATACAAAAACTAATGATCTTCTCTCAAGTGTTTAACTCTCTTGTCAAGTGGACTCGATTTTCACCGACATCCTTGTTCTCTTTATTTTATTTCTCCCAATGGTATAGTGGTTTTGACTTTTTTCAATCATCCGTCCAGAATGTTTACCAACTCCGTGAAGAGGCTTAGGATAATGAGAGCAGCTGAAGCTAATCGAATTGGCACGTGAGGTGCCAGCAAGATTGACTTCACCAGTTTTTTTTCTGTACACCACCTGTTTTCTGAGGGCAATTTGCAGCTCTGTAAGCAGCCAGAGAAGGGATTAGTAATATATGAGGAGGCCAATATGTATGGGACTGAGGCAACCGATTTAAGCTGGAGAACTGTGCGAAGGAGAGGTAATATAGGCTCAGCGTTTTGAAAAGAAAAGGATTGTCCTTTTTTCTTTTCCTCTCTTTTTTTCTTTTTCTTTTTCTGGAATCTCTGATCTTGTTTCCCCTGCTCTGGGAATTGTCAACTTGTGTATTTTTTAAGTCACAGCCATGAAGTTATGCACATATACAGATGTGGGGATGTTTATGTTGTGAATATGAGAGCACAAAATGCTCTGCTTAAGCCTTCTCGGCCTGGGGATGATGCTTCTTTCTTCTTAATGCTGTAATATTCCCTGTTCTAGTTTTCTCCTCACTCAATGGAGATTGGAGCATATGAGTGGTCCTGTGTGTGTTTGTAAACAGGGCAAATTTTGGAATTTCAATAAAATGATGGATTATTGCTTATAATAATATATATATTGCTTGAAACTTGAAATGCTATTTGTTATACAAGCTTTCCCATTTTCAGTGTTCATATCTGTGCCCCCACCGATACTCCAAGATTTCTGGTTTTGTCCAAAAACCGAAGAAAAAAAAAAAGAATTAACATTCTGATGGCAGATATGCAATTTATACTATACATCATCTGCTCTTTTACACACCCAAATGAGCCAATCATTACAATTAATTAAGAGAGAGAAGGGAAAAAAGGACTAATCCTACTTACAGAGATGAATGTAAAAGGATCAAAATAAAGGGGGCAGTAGAAAACTCCATTTTCCTCCTACAGAAGGCCATTTACAGGTGAAGTGCTGAAAACTGGCTTCTCTTTGTTAGTTCCAAATCCTTCATTGCCACCACTATTGCTTTTTCTCCTCGGTTTTGCTTCTCCCAGCATTGTTATAATATCTCTCATGGAAGGCCTGTCTTTTGGATGCTTTGCAGTGCAGAGAAGTGCTATTCTAAGAACGAACAGCATTTCTTCCTGAACATGCTTGAAATTTCCCAAATTTGGATCTAATGCTTCTTCTAAGGATCTGTTGTCTCTAACCTTCCTTCTAATCCATTCAACTATGTCCACAGATTCCCCAAACTCGGGATCTAATGGCTTCTTTCCTGTCAGTAACTCTAAAAGTACGACACCGTAGCTGTAAATGTCGATCTTTTCATCTACCTTTAAAGTGTATCCATATTCTGCATAATGGGTAAGAAAAGCAACAGAAGTTACAAAATTTGCTCATCAAATTGAAGGTTTGTTAGTCTCTTTGTTTTTCCTCCCCTACCAGGCTGCATTTGTTATTTACCATCCATAAGTTAATAAAAACTGTCGCAAATAAAAAACTTACCGGGGGCAATGTAGCCATAGGATCCAGCTACCATCGAAACTGTCTCGTTCTTTCGAGCCATCATCCGTGCCAACCCGAAATCAGCTAACCGTGCGTCAAGACTCGAATCAAGAAGTATATTATTTGGCTTAACGTCCCGATGAATGATGGGTGGGTTGCAATCGTGATGGAGATAAGCTAGCCCTTGCGCAACTCCGAGTGCTATGTTGTATCTTGAAACCCAGTCCACAAGCAGCCTCCCTGCTTGTTTACCATGCAAGGCTTCTCCAAGGCTCCCATTTTGCATAAACTCATAGATGATCATTACATCGACATCATTATGCATAAACCCAATTAATCGAACTATGTTCCTGTGCCTTAACTTTCCCAGTAAATTCACTTCTCCTACTAGACCTTCACTGCTTCCAAGTTCAAGATCTGATTCTGATCTCCACAGCTTTTTGACAGCCACAACTGTCTTTAGTTGTGGCATTTCAGCTTTGTACACAATCCCAGTTGCTCCCATTCCAATCACATTTGATTCCTTGATGCAAGCCAAAATGTCACTGCTTGTGAATCCAAGCCGTTGGAATGCCATCAATCTCCATGGCCAATATCCACTACCCATTTCATATCTCTCCTCAAAGCAACTTCCATTCGAGTACCACCTCTTATACAACGATCGAACACCGAAAAGAGTAATAACGATCGCTAAAACTGCAGATATTCCAATGACCCAACTGGTGATAACATGCTTCATGTGCGAGCTCCCGTGCCCTGATGCAAATGCTGAATTTGGTGAGCATGGAGGCAGGACAGCTCCACATAGACCAGCATTGCCCTGAAGATCACTTGGGTTGATTGTTCTTAACACACCATTTAATGGAACTGGACCTTCAAGCTTATTGTAAGAGACATTAAGCGATTCCAGTGCAGGAGAGATACCGAAATTATCGGGTATTCTACCAGTAAGAGAGTTGTTGGATAGATCAAGGACGGACAATGAAGGCATATTTGCAATCTGTTTTGGGATTTCTCCAGTTAACTGGTTGTTTCTGAGATTCAGATTTACCAATCTCTCACATGAAGCAATGTTTTCTGGAATGCTTCCTGTAAAATGGTTCGAGGAGAGATCAAGCACAGAAAGTGCAGGACAATCCTGAAACTGGTCTGGAATTTCACCTTCCAAGTTATTGTCAGAGACTATGAAAGTTTGAAGATTTGGAATGGACAGAATTGAGGAAGGAATAGAAGAATGAAGTTCATTTTCAGAAAGATCAATAAAAGAAAGGGATGTAGAAGAGGAAATATCACTTGGGATACTCCCAATGAGACTGTTGTTTGCCAATTCTAGCCTTTGAAGCTTCCAAAGCTTTCCAAACCCAACTGGAATCGTCCCAGATAGCAGATTGTTCTGCATTCGAACACGAACTAGTGAGTAACATGACGATAATCCAACCGGAATCGGACCCGAAAAAGCATTGTTGAAAAGGATGAGCTTGGTTAGATTGCCCCTATTGCACAAAGAAGCCGGAATTGGACCAGAGAATGAATTGGATGAGACATCCAACCATACCAACTCCGAGTTCTTGCCGAGATCGCCAGGAAGTTGGCCCGAAAAAGAGTTGTTCCATAGCTCTAGAACCTGCAATTTTGTCAACCCTCCTATTCCTGGAGGTACTTCACCAGACAGCATATTACACATTAGATTCAGTAGCTGCAAATTCTTCAGTTCAGCTATCTCAGCTGGAATTTCACCTGTCAACTTGTTGTCTGAAAGATCAAGAAACACTAATGAAGTAGCATTACCAATCCACTGCGGAATTCGCTCTTCGAAACCGTTCTTGTACAAGAACAATGTCTCAAGTTGTTTGAGCCTCCCAAGCTCAGCAGGAATCCCACCACCAAGATTTCCCACAGCCAAATCAAGATATTTGAGATTGGTGAGATTTCCGAACTCTGATGGAATCCCTCCTTCAAACTCATTGTATCCCATAATAACAGTCTCTAACGACGACAGCTGACCGATCTCCGGCGGGATTCGCCCGGTCAGGTTGTTCCCAGAAAGCCCCAGAAACTTCAACTTCTGCAAGTTCTTGAAAGATATGGGAATTGACCCTTCAAGAAAACTCCCTCGGAGATCCAGAATCTCCAGCAGAGTAGCATTTCCAAGATCTTCAGGGATAAAACCAGAGAAATTGTTGCTTGACGCATTGAAATTTGTCAAGCCGGCCATCGTCCCGAAGCCCCCCGGAATGCTTCCGACGAAAAAATTTTGACTCACATCAAAGCTCTTCAGGGAAGTGAGATTGCCCATAGATTTTGGCAAGGAAGAAGAAAACCCATTGCAGCTCAAGTCGAGAGAAGAGAGGCTTCTTAGTTTCTGCAAGTCGTTCGACAAAATGCCACTGAGATTCATTCGAGAAAGGCTCAGTTTCTCAACAGCTCCTTCTGAGTTGCAAAAAACTCCCGTCCAATTACACTGCCCTGCAAACTTACCATTTCCATCGCCCAACTTCCAATCTCTGAGCCACTTTAACGGATCAACAAGTCCAGATTTAATCGAAACCAAAGCCAATGCTTCTTCACTAAACCCAGCAGCGGAACACTGGGTAAGATAACCAATACAACAGTAGAAAAATACACAAAACAAAATCTGGGTTATCGACTTCATCGTCTTCTCCATCATACCCACTTCTCAATTTCTCTCAGATTTCCACCATTTCCAGAAACAGCAGGAAAATTGAGAAGATGGGTCTGTCTCTGCGAGTGAATCACAGTAAAGTTTTGGTCAGTGGGAAGAAGTTGGTTAAGAAGTGCTCAGAGCTTTAAATATATAAATGGTGGAATCCGGTATGGAACTGAAAATTGAAAATTGAGGGGATTTGTGAGGGAGGCATTGGGCAATGAAACAGCTGTTTATCTGCAAGTAATGACGAACCAGAGTTTGGACTTATTTGGAAGTTTCTCCGACATTAAACATGGAAGAGGATTATGTGCTCTCCCTGTTACTAATTACTATACTACTACTGCTGAATTATTGATTTTTGCTTCTCCTCTCGTTCTATGAAGAAGATAGTCAACTTGGTGTGACTCATCATAGCTAATGTGATTCTGGTTTAATTTGCACCATTTTTAATCCATATTTTATATCCCACGTCCATTATTTCTGGCATTAAAAATCAGAATATTGATCATTGCATGATATGATAATTAAATATCAGGCCTTTGTAGGGTAGGGATTAGCATCAAATTATCCCTATGATCTGAAAATTTCAAGAGTTTCTGTATAATTTATATTTGGATGGACACAGATTAAAAATTTTGTAGAGCATATGTTTGATCAGTGAGTAAATTTGAGATGTGTTAGCAAAAGTCGAGTTGATGGTTAATGGGTAAACAAACTCATACTTAGAATTAAACAGTTAAATTACAAATTTGATTCATAAACTTTTAAGACAATATCTATTTCATCAATGTATTTATAAAAATTTATAATAAGTCTCTAATCTTTTCATTATATTGGATAAATTTGAGCGTTAACCAAATTTATTTAAACTTGCACCACAAAACATGTTCAAAATCAACCCACCACGTAAATTTTAAATAATAGTCAATAGTCATCATGTTATATAGACGTTAAACTATTAAAGTTAACTAGCGATGCATTAAACACCATATTAAAAGTTGGAAAACCTATTAAATTCTATTTAAATTATGGGATTAAATATTCATAATCTTAAAAAAATATATATATACACATATATATATATAAGAGCTGCATTGATACCATCCTAAAAATTCAAGAATAAAATTTATAATTTAATGTAACCTTAATCTATGTATTTTATTTTTCTCTGATCTAATAATGTCAGATAAAGAATTTAAATAATTGAGTTAACTTCAATCTTACATTATTAATTTATTATAATTGATATTGTAAAGAACTTTAATAAAAGAGAGAAAAAGCAGAAAAAAGGAAAGTTGCGAATAAATTTATAGTGAAAGCCACTTTGAATTTGCCTTACATGCTAATATCACAATAGGTGCGAAACCCAAGACTACATGCTCAAATGATTTAGGCTTTACTAAATCTCCTTGAAATTCTCAACTTTGGCAATTAAAATTCAAAGGGTAACTTCTAAGTATGACAAAGATTCATAAAAATGAAGCATAAATTAGACTTAGACCAAAATTTATATAAATAAGCATATCATGTAAAAGTAAACCCATAAAATATTGCTCTAGTAATTCTTTGCACCATTTGATTGCCCAATAATCATTCTCACCTTTTTTTTTTAAATATTCCTTTTCTTTTAAATTATTGGTTCATAAAAGGTAAAAAAAAAATAATAAAAATAAATTGACCATGCAGTTTTGAAGTCCATGCTAAAATCCACGATTAATTTTCTAAAAATATTATTAAGAACATGGTGATCCACTAAGTGATTGAATGGGCAGCCATAAAACGAAAACCCACTGAACAAAGCACTGTTGGATGAACAGTTTGATTGAAACAGAGGAATCTTCCCATGTTATAACAACAACACAACACAAAAATAACAAAGGACAAAAAGCCCTTAATAATCCCAATTGATATCAGCCACACCAAATCTTTCTTGTAGGACACCCCCACCCCTAAATCCTAATCCTCATCCCCGTTTTTGGTAAAATATTAGAAGAGCAGAAATTACTCTAATTCGTGACTTTGGATTTTACTCGATCCAACTAAACAAATAATGTCAATAACTATAAAAACAAGCTAATTATTGAATCACTTAATGCAGCAAGTTCGTATTCAATTTAATGCAGCTAAAATTAAAAAGTGAAATTTGGTCGAGGATGGGTAAACAAAAGGAGTGGGTGCTCAAATCAAGAGTGGAGTATTATGAGATATAAAATAAAATAATTGAAGTGGGGAACAAAACTGAGAGAAATTGGATCCACTATTCCAATCATGGTCTGAGCCCACCAACTGCCATTTTTTATTAGGCAATCAATCTCTCTCTCTCTCTCTCTCTCTCTTTTTTTTTCTCTCTCTCTCTCTATGGGCTTTTTTTTTTCCCTGTTTGTTAATCTGCCAAATTTCACATGGTCACATGTGAAGCTTCCCCAAATTCCTACATTAAAGAGAGAGAGAGAGAGAGAGAAGTGAACCAATTAATACACTCAAATCCACTTTATTTTTATGGCCCAAAAGTGATGCAAAAACAGAACTATTGTTGAATTAGAACATACCCATGTGAAATAGCAGCTTCTTAGCTAAGTACCTCTTTTCCTATCATTGAAGAGAGAGAGATTCAATTTCAACTCAATATGTAATGTATTTAACATAGAGTTCAAAATTTACAAAAATGACGTAATTTAATCACCCTCTAACTTAGATGTGATGGAAAATATACTGAAAAAAAAAGTTAAAATCATGCCATGAAAAGATTTGTGACATTTGTCAAAATACTATTAATTTTAGGTTATTGAGCAAAATTTCTCAATTTGAGATCAATGACAATGGAGAGAGGGATGAAATGTTTCCACATGCCTTTATGCTCTCACCTCAAACAATCCAAGGCAGTGGGAGAGAGAGAGAGAGAGAGAGTAGTGGTTGCACATGTGGCACGTGCTTCAGATGTGGAGCCCCATTTGCGTGGGACCCACATTTGATATTTTTTTTTCTAGAAAAAATTGCTTATGAACAGAAATGGTGTACCTTCTTTGATAAATTGATTTGACAATTGATATGATTCAACTTTCTATGTAATGAGATATATGATCCAAAAAGATTACATCTCTATAATGATGATGTCAAAAACATTATATTTTAATTTTTGATTATAAATTTATCTTGTTTCCCAATCCACTATCAGATTGATTAATTAAAAATGTGGTCCATTTTTATAAGTGTTGTAAATTTATATCATTTATCAACATCAAATATTGTTTTAATCACTTTTGGAGACACACTTCCTTTTTTTTTATTAAAAAAATAATAATAATAATGTAAAGAGAAACTAAAACTAAAGCAAAAACAGCACTATTTTTTCCATTGACCTAGCATTGGGCCCTAAACTTGGAAACTTGGGCCAAATTTACTGGTTAGACGTTTAGCGGCCCAAGCCTTCAAAGGGGCAATAAAGGTAGCCTTTCTTTTCCTTCCTCTGCAATACTGTGAGGACTGAGGAGTAATATGACACAATTCATAGGAGTTTTATGCAAATTTCAAGCCCATAAACAAATTTTTGTCAGACATAGACATAGCTCCATGTTGGCCACAATCTAAGTTGATACCACCTATGGCAACTGTCTGTCCTCTAACCGCCTAAAAAATAACTGCAATGATCTTGAATAAGAACCATATGGCGATAAAATCTCCATCACAATGCCACTAGATCGAGCACTAGTTTGTTGTACTTGGTTAATTGATCCAAGAGTAAAAACATATATCTGATTATCTTGAGAGATTGGAGGTTCAAATTATCGCCCTCCAAATTTATTGTTCTAAAAAACTATAATAATTAAATAATCATTTGATTTCTATTATCTTACTTTTTATTCAATCGAAATGTAAAATTGACATTCTATAGTCCAAAAGATTCAAATTCATTCTTTAGAATTATTTTATTGAATGTATATTTGTGTGGGACACATGATCCAATGAAAGATAAAAGGATATGATTAATTAATTTCGAAGTTAAATTTATTCAAACATAGTGGTTGTTTGACGAGTCATCTTTTATTTGTTATATTTCGATAATAGATTAAAAAAGAAAGGCAAGATATATAATCTAATTTCCATTTTCCACCATGCAAGAGATATATAAAACGAAATCTTTGTTGACCGGAAGACAAGTACATCAGTCCAGTTCCGCCTCTGTGAGATGACAAAAGGCAGATTTTTCTACACTAAATAATCTCAAAGGAAGAAATCTATGGTAGAAATCCGTGAAGATTATTAAACTAACCTGACTGTGACTCAATATCAATATCTTTGTGAATCATAAAACACACTCCCAAGTCCCAAGCATTCATTCTAATCATGGTGGTGACTTCAGTTCTTCCAAGTCACTGCAATTGGGCTTCTAACTCGGTATTTGCCGTTCTCAGAATGAACCCATGTCAAATACCCTTCTCCGAAGCTCACTTTTCTTCCTTCTCTTCCCTTCTCAGAAATAAACCATACTCTATAATTCAAACTTTGATTCACATGTTTGAACACCAAGCGACGAGGCTTAACTCTTACTCTTACTCCTTCGGGCGCCGATACTTCCACCGAGTAGATGGAATTTGGGCTCCCCACGTTCGTCAWTCGTCTTGAAACTGTTTTACTCGTTGTCCCGTGCTTGAAAACAACAGACATGGAAGGGTAGTTCAAGCTGAAGCCTCTGTTCATCTGGAGAACTTCATGGCAGCTCACATTCATGTGAGTGATAATGAAGATTTCTGAATGAGTGTATCCAAGAGCACAGAGATGGATGACATATTCATATGGCTTGATATCATATACCAAACCAGGATCGACGGCTCTTGTTGGATTTACATGGCCAGCTCCCATTGCAAAAACTCCAGCTGGTTTATTGCCATCAAGAATTGGCTTTCCAAAATGATCGGAAACATCAGCAGTTGTCATAATGGCCGACTTAATAGCTGCAGGTGTCCATCTGGGGTGAACTGAATGGATTAGAGCTGCAATTCCACTGACATGGGGACAAGCCATGGAAGTTCCTGACATGACTGTGAAGTTTGACCTTCTAGTATCTTCTGGAAGGCCAGTGGGGCCAAGATTTTGAGGCCAAGCTGCTATGATGTTGACCCCAGGAGCAATTACATCAGGCTTGAGAGTTGAAGGGTTGGAGAGGCTTGGTCCTCTGGATGAAAACCGAGCTACAGATGGAGCTCTTGATCTCCCGATCACAGTTCCTCCAAATTGGATTCTGGCTTTTGGGTTATTTGTGGTGTTAATGTAAGCTTTCAAGCGATTTGCTTCGGCAAATCCGATCAATGTGGCTGGCAAGACATGGACATCTACCAAGTTTTCCTCCTGATTTACCTCGGCGTTTGCTAGGATCATTTCAGCGCCTCCGGATTCCTTCACAATTTGCCCTTTTTCAGATCTGCCATTGACGCCACGGTCACAGACCACCATTTTTCCTTCTACTTTTTCTCGTGGAAGAGACCCTTTTAAGCAGAGTTCACCTCCCATTTGCCCTCCGGTCAGATAAACCACTTCAAGCTCTTTGGTAGCTTCCATGAGCTTGTTTCCGGGGTACATTGATTCGCCGTAAATGGCTTCTCCAGTGCTCAGTCGAACTACAGCTGGGAATCTTCGGTCGAGTGTGCTTGCTCCAATGGTGGTGATCCAAGGAGCAGCATTAGCAACAGAGCTTTGAATTGGGCCATTATTTCCTGCTGCACAAATGACCGAGATGCCATGCTGCATTGCTCGGAAACTGCCAATGGCAATGCTGTCATCGAAAAATGGAAGTGGAAAACCGCCAAGCGAAAGGGAGAGAATGTCAACACCATCCCTTATTGCAGCATCCATTGCTGCTACAATATCAGAGCTATAGCAACCACTGAACCAGCAAACCTTGTACACCGCAATGCGGGCTCCCGGGGCCATCCCTTGTGCGACGCCAGCTCCATTACCGAACACACTTGCTCCTGCAACGGAAGCTCCCGCAGCTGTAGAAGACGTGTGAGTCCCATGGCCATGAGAGTCCCTCGGGGAGACGTATTCCTGGACTATATCAGAAGGTGGCGATGAAGCCACATGATGTCCTTTGATAAAGAACTTAGCACCAATGAGTTTCCTATTACAAATTGAGGAATTAAACTCCTGCCCTTCTTGGCAAGCCCCTCTCCATTTTATTGGAATTGGGGGCATTTTAGAATCACTAAAACTTGGACTCTCAGGCCAAACTCCAGTGTCAAGAACCCCAATTATAGCCCTCTGGCCCATTGCAGACTTATACCAAACACCTTGTCTGCCTTCCTCGAGTCCCAAGAACTTAGGAGAGTAAGTTGTCTGAATTTCATACTTTTTGTCAGCTCTTACTGCCACTACATCAGGCAATTTCTGCAAATACTCCAGCTCTGTTTCAGATAACTGAGCTGCAAACCCTTCCATGGCGTTAGAATATGAGTAAAGCAAGCGAGAAGAAGAGTCTTCTTCAGCAGATAGAGTTTGTTCAAGAAAAGAAAGGTGCCATTGAAGCTTAGAATCGAACAGAGAGGTGGTTATGCCCTGTGGGTGGAGTTGAATTAGGTAAGTTTGAAGAGTGGAAGCGTTTGCTCGGAGTGAAAGAAAGCAGAGGAAAAGGGTGGAAAGAAAAACCATCTGGGTGTTGGAATCCATGACTTTCTACAGTGATTCTTGGAGTTGGATTCATGATTTAGGACCAAATTTTGGTGGGTATTTGAAGGAGGACGAGAAAATTCAAATCTGGGTGTGGTTTGAGGAAGCGTTACTGAAATTCTGGGTGTAAAATACGAAACTCGTGAAATATAAGAGCTCTTCATCACGAGGATCCCTTGTTTGCAGAGAGAGAGAGAGAGAGAGAGAGATTCACAAATTTGGTCGATGGAGAAGCTGAAGGCGTTGCTGGTTGCTTCAAGCTTCACGAGAAGTTATGGTGAACATAAATTAGAAAACAATTTGAATTCGAAAAGTTGTGTGAATCTCTGTTTCCCAAATGAAGGCATGAGTAGAGAAGTTGTTGAGATTGAGAAACGTACTTGGAAAGAATATAAATTTGCGTTATTTAATGCAACACGCTCTTCGTTTTCTTGGCTCCAATTTGCCTCCTTCCGCTCTCTCTTGGACTTGGACCCTTCTGCCGCTGACGTGATCCTTTTTCTTTCTTTCCTTGTTTTGTTCCCGTAGGCACAAAATAGCTATCATAGTTTATATTTCGTCATTTTACGTTGAAATCTTAGGTTGGTACTGGTAGAAATACAATTTTAGTCGATTACAATTCAACTTTTAATTGATGTATTTTCAAAATATTCAATTTATAGGAGATTAAATACTAGGTAGGTGGCATCGGTTTGAATCAATTTCCTCCAAGTCTATTGACATTGACACACCACGACGGTTCATTTTTTTTACCTATTTTCAAAAAAATTAATACAAATTAAATACATAACGAAACCGTTTAATATAAAGTCATTGTTACATTTAAAATAAATATATTGAATATAGTGTCACGTTAATTGTGATCAAATAAGACTAGATTACTAAAATGATCACTGTTTAAATCGAAGTTGAAAGTAGAGGGAAAAAAATGAACCAAAAACTAAAAGTATAAGAATTAGTATTTCTACCCAAATAAAATGAACATATCCTGCCAGGAATGTTAAGTCTTTTCGAGAGATTTATTATTATTCAATTATGATGTAACTTTTGTTTTTTATCTGTTATTTTTGCATGCTTATTTCTTATTTGGTTTATGATTAATATAATATTTGGTTTAGGATTAATATAGTATATATATTGGTAAAATGAAAAAAAAAGATATATGAGAGTTAAAATCGAATCGATTTGAGGGCTAATTCACAAATAGATTCGATTTCAACCCTAAGGTTTAGGTTAGACGCGATTGCCTTAAGATCAAACCTCTCAAGATAAATAACAAGTTTCTTTGCTAAATAGTTGAACACTCTACAGATTAGGATGATAAATCTTACTTAAATATTCTTGGCATACGACTCAAATGAACCTGAATCGTACAAAAGAAGCAAGCTTCCTGACTAAACTTGAAAGGAAAAGGTCATGACTCAAATTCCATCAAATCAGATCTAATATGTCATTTGAAACAACAGAATGACCAAGCTTTAGATAGCTTCCCAGCTAAATCCTAAATACCACATCATCAACACAAAGAGCAGAAAGACAAAAATACCCCAACTTAATATGTTCAGGTAAATTTTAAAAGAAATGCAATAACGTAATAAACTTTTAAATAAGAGTTCCCTCTTTGTTTCAGTTCTCTTTCCTAGACTGCATTTCTCTTTTTCGCTCTCTATATTCTCTATTTGTCCCCTCCCTCTCTTCATCTCATACGTGTCAAGCATAGATTAAAAAACATAAAAGTAAACATAAGAAATTAAATGTCATTAAAGTCGAAATTGACTGAAACAACCAGTCGGTCGGTTAGTGAAAGTACGTTTCAATTTTGGAAAACCAACACGGTCAATTTTGATGACAAATCGACAGGCGGATGGATATGCCTACTGATATGAACCATCATAGGACTTGAAATTATTATCCATGTTTTATTTAATAGTTTTGGTGTAATTTTATTGCTTTCTAGTTTTTATCTTCTCAGAGCATATTAAGTATGGATATTTTTCTCTTTTTGTTATGATTTAAGATGTGGAATTTTAGATTTAGTTGGATGGTTAAGCGTGACCATTAGATCCTTTTACACTTAAGATCAGTTTAGAATGAATGAAGTTTGCAACATTGAACTTGATAACTAAGATTTCATCATTGGTTTATAATTCTTGTAATTCTTGATCTAAGTTGTAAACTTGAAATATTCAAATTAAGTTGGATCAACCTTCTTGTAGAGTATTCAACATTGGGTAGAGAGATAATTCTCCTTAATTGTTGGTCTTTAGTCAACAAGCATCATCTAATACTTCCCTTGCTAATTTATTTTTATGAGTTTTAGATATTGTTAATTAAGGTTCTCCTTTAATTGAAGGGTTTTTATCTACAATCTTATCAGATGACTTAATGACCGAGCTAAATGAAATATGAAGAGTGGATTCCTTGGACTATTCTTCACTTTTACCCTTCTAGCATGTTTCCCTAGGGATTTATATTTTCAAATCACAACCCTTGGATTTTTAGTTGCAATTTTCAAATAGAAATTCTAGTCTCTTCAATTTCATTTTATTATGACTTGAATTTTTGGTATGTTTTTCCAATTTTCTTTTCTCTTCCAATTTCCCTCTTTATTGTTTCGAATTTTTATTTTTAATTAATATTCGTACCTTGTTTTTTGTTTTATTTTCTTTATTTTTACGTTCACACCCATTTGAGCTGGCCCAATATAATATGATATTGGACCTCAACTTGCGTGTGTAAAATGTAATCGGGCTTCTTTGAGCCCATTAATCTCCTAATATATGACCCGATGCACTGACCTTCAAGTAAAACGCTGCCGTTTTGAGCATCTGCGTAAAACAGACGCAGCCCATAACCCTTTTACCATTTTCTCCTCCGTAAGTAAAACGCAACACCAACGCAATACCATATATAAAGGCTAACGGCAAGAGCGGGAACTTGGAACTTGGAACTTGGAACTTGGAACTTGGAATGGAATCGAGTTGAACGCAACAAATTAATTTGCGCGCGAAAACCTTTTGGTTTTTGAGATTGCTCTGATGAGAAAAGTGTGATCAGAATCGAGATTATTGTACGAAATTATTGTGGCTCGCGAATCACTGCAAACAGGTATGTCGGATGAATGATCTTTTGCTGATTCATTGGATAAGTTGACGGTTTACTTTTGAGAAAACTTAACGATTTCTTCTTTAAAAAGTAATCGTGATTGCTACGTCTCGTCATTCCCTTCTTCTTTATTCAGTTAATCGTGATTGCCAGGTCTCATAGTTTCTAATTACTGTACGATTTTGATTAGTCGATGAGAAAATCAATTAGTTTCATAAATTAATTATCGTGATTGCTAGGTCTCATATTTCCCAATAACTGTACTTACGATTTTGATTAGTCGATGAGAATCTTAATGACTGTATGATTTTGATTAATCGACAAGTTTCTAAATTAATGATCGTGATTGCTCAGTACAAATAGTTTCTCAGAAGTCCTTCCCTCGTCAATCCTATCGGACTAGGTGTGTTTTGGTTGATCGGTTTGTTTCGTTCATTGCTGACTCGTGTCTTGTTATCCCGATATGATTTATCTCTCTCGGTACTTTTATCTATAGTTATTGTGATTACGAGTTCAAATTAAACTCCTTCCACAGTGAGCTTTCAGGTCTTCTTTTTCCTTGTTTTTAGAATTTGGTGACGGCTTTTTGTTTGGTGGTTTCTGTTGATGAGTGAATGGGATGGTTAAGAACATCATATCGGTATATATTTTATGTAATCTGTTTTACTTATATAACCTTTTATTGAGTTCATCGTGTGAACAATATTTTGAACAACGAACTTCTTATTCTTTACTGAATCTCATGCTTCCTAATTTCTTTCAATTATATGATATATGATTGTGACGTTTTTGGATTTTTGTTAAAGGTATTATTATAAAAGGTCTATACATTCAAGAATCGAGTTGCTTCCGCTTAACAACATTGTGATATGAACTTGGAGTTTGTTGTAACATGCAAGTAGGAGAACTCCGGTCGTTCTATTCTCTAAATGTTTCTTTAAAATATTGTTATGGCTAAATCAAAAGTTGTAATGTAATATTTCTTAATAATTTTGTCTACTTTTTAACAGTCATTATTTTCAATATTTCGATATCCTACTGTATTAGAGTGTAAAAATCTGAGATTAGACATCGATAATAGAAACTCACTTTCAGCTTTTCTGATATTTTGGCATCAGCCATGGAAGCCTTCTAATAAGTGAAGTGATTCTTTTTACCGGAGAGAAGCCATCCATGACATGAGCAAGGTGGATCCGAAGTATGCATCATTTCTTACAATCCTTCAATAGTAAAAATGAATTACATTTATTTCCTTGTCCTTGAAACGACAGATCTTAATCCAAGCATTACTTTGTGCAGTTTCTCTTCAGGATGTTAACTTTGTTTAAGCTATTTGGTTTGATTACAGGCGCGGGTGCAGTTTGCATCAGTTTTTTAGCTCGTGAAGATCAAATGAGACTTTACCGACAAAGCCTATGAGGTTAGTAACTCAACACTCTTTCTCCCAATTTATTATTTCAACCTACTCGAAACATAATAATGAATAAATATGTGGAAGCTCTAGAAGTTTTGAGCACTTAGAATCTGACTTGTTTAGTTTAGCCACAAACTATGAAGTTCTTACGAGGAGAGAGCTTCCTATGAGGTACAGCTTCTTCGGCAGGAGAAATTTGATAAACTTTGTCTGGTTCACTAACTTTAGTTTGAGTTTCTAAGCTAGATTATTTCAACTCACACAATTAGCTTGTTGGTTTTCACTCAATGAAAAGAGAGTGCAATTAATGTCTTTTGCCTCTACAAAAGTACCTTTAGTTTCATCAAACTCACATCCCCGGGCACTGCTTTCAGATTACTATAATGATCCAATATAGTTCTGACAAGGAGAGCTTCGTATGAGGTACATTTTCTTCTGCAGGAGAAATTTGATAAACCTTTTCTGGTTCACCGACTATAGTTTGAGTTTCTAAGCTAGATATAAACTCACACATTTACCTTATTATTTATTACTCAGTGAATTGAGAGTGCAATTAATGACTTTTGCCTCTACAAAAGTATCTTACTATCTTTACTTTCATCAAACTCACCTCCCTGAGGCCACAACTTGTTTTGGAGGCTATAATTAATAATTAAACAGTATCTCAAACCTTGCGCATCAATTTTCCTCTACCTCGATGCCTTCTGAAGATGAAATCGGATTGCAAATTTAGTTTTCGAATCAAACAATTTCCCATGCCAGTATCTGTGCCTTCACCTTGTCTTTTTATATACGGTGGCTTCTCTGTAAAGACTCTGCCCTTCGTTGGGGTATCTACTTCTTCCCTAACTGTTTCCCTCAAACAAAACTAAGCAGACATCTTTTTTTCTAATTGGGGAACCTGGAAAAAAACCGTTGAAGTAGGTGGTATCCAGACAATGTTTGCCTTTGTAAGTGATACTTTTGATTGTCTCATCAAAGCTGATCCAAGATACCTCTTCTCTAACAAGTATTTCAGTTGTATGTTCTCCTGTGCTTTTCTGCCATGCCTTTGGCTTTGCTGCAAAAGGGATTTCATAAATTTCCTACCTTATTTGCATTTTAAACTTTGGTGAAGGTCATTTTCAAACGTCTAACCTCCTAAATATAGGTCTTCACCTTTCACATCTTGTGATTTGCCTGATCCAAAGTCATATATAGAGCAATAATCTTCTTTGCCTCGTAGAAGTCAACACGATATGTCTACGTATCATCCTCTGCATATACCACCTGAAATCAGGATCTCCAATTCCCAACATCATAACAACTATCAAACCTTTGAATAAAGTGGGACGAGTTTCTTCCATCATTATATTTTTTTTAATGTATTTGCCCTCTCTTTTTTCCCTTTGCATGCAAATTTGATTTTGGATTCCCATGTTTTCTTCATTCTGCAGTTTATGTGGGGTGGAACTAGAAAATCCCTTAATAAATAGGTATTGTCTATCGTTGGTACATTGATTCCATTATTTTCTCTTCAGGCTCATAATGATCATACTCGAGTTTTTGCCTGATCTTCTAGACCTGTCGATCCACTAAAAGTTTCAATTCACAAAATTCTCCGTCTGATCTTCGTCATCCTCGCCTTCCTGATGCCTAAGAATGGAACTCTACACCCTGTTCTTACAATCTCAAGATTTTCCTGATGCCTAAGAATGGGTCTGTCAACTCCCCGTCGTTAGCTCTGATCCATGAGGCGTCGTTGAAGGCGGTTTCTGATTTCGGTTAAGCGTAAGCCTACTCTGTTAACATTATTACTTAATATTTGACACGCTAATTAAAATTAGTTGAATTAAACAAGGCTAATACTTCTCTTACCCATTCCATCTATTTTGTTTTATTTAGCCTCTTACTTTCTTGTGCCGCATTGCAATATATTGTCATTTGTCAGTCCAATAAGTGCGAGAAATTGAATAGTGAGGGTTAGCAACATAAATTTATTAGTGTAATTTTAGAACTTTTTAATATTTAAAGATTGAATAAACATATACATCAAATTTTTTAATTAAAATTTGAATATGCATCAAAGAATTTCATTCACATTCCTAAGCTTCTTAAAGAAAAAGAATCAATTTATCAGTGTCAAATTCTTAGGCATCCGAGTACATCATAGGTTTTTTGCCTCTGTGCTATCTTTATCTTTTTGCTTAGTATGTCTTTCAACTTAGTTCAAGATAACTTTTTAATGATGAAATATTCAAAATCTTTTGAAGAACCATACTTTTATAATCTTATTTATATGTTTTAAATATTGATAATAAGAAACAGGAATAAAATATTAAATCTTTTTAATACTAGAATTTGTATGATATGTAAACGTTCAAAAAAGAAAAGAAATAATAAAGAGAGAGAATGTTACTTATTAATTGTCTAAGTCAATGAAAAGTAGAATTTGAGAGTTATATGATTGACAATTTGATTGATTCACATAGTTAACGGTTTTCTAATCTCCATAGTAATTCTTATAAAAAAAAATAAGCTCCATAGTAATGGTCAACAGTCAACACCCTATACCGCTTAAAAGATTGGTACCATAACAGTGATGATGAATGTTAGATTTCAAACATTTACAAATGTAAATAAAAGTGAAACATATCAAACAATTATATGAATATAGGAGCAGAAAAGTTATTAAAAATATGGTATAAATAAAAATCATAACAACTATATGTATATATGTCTTGCTTTTTTTTGTATATATATCAATGTTCGAAATGTCAATGTCGAGATTTTACGGACATATCAAACAAGGAAATTGTAGATATTGACACAAATTTTTTGAATTAGTAAATAGGATCTTAATGGTAGTTTAATGAGCTCATAATTGTTTAATTTTGACCGTCATATCAAATATATCAATAATATATTATTTACCATGGTTCTTATTGACCACTAGATCATGGTTAAATATTATAAAAAAAAAACCTTAAATGATTATGGATTAAAGCTTAAACAACTTTATTTTTCCAAAAACAAAGGCATGTTTAATAATGTTTTTGAGTGATATTTAAAAGAGAAAAATAAGTTAAATGGAAAGAAAAGTTAGAGAGAGAAGTATGAACTAGAGAGGGATAAACAGAAGATAGAAGTCGTTGAGAGTTGTTCGAGAAGGAAAGATAACTGAGAGAGGAAGAAAAATTATATAGATGACAAAGTTAGTGAGACATTTTAGAGTTGAGTTACAGGAGGAAGCATTTTTTCACAAGGAGATTATTTCTACTGTTTTGTTCTTTATTTTTAATCTCTTTTTGCAGGAAATTAGAGTGATAAATGATAGTTCCCGGTAGATTTTCCTAATTGCTCTGCTTTTCACGGCGCGGCAGTCTGAAGGCTTTCGGAAGAAAATCAATTCACAAGCACAAGCAGAACTGTAGAAGAGAGGAAGAAGGTACGAAATTTACAGTGTAATTCCACGTACCTGTTATTGGATGCTTGAAGGAATTTCAGCTTTGGACTCTAAATTGTATAAGATTCCTCCGTTTGGTCAATGAGAAAAACGGGACTCGAGCTGTCCTCATAATACATGAATAATGTTTACAAGCTCCATTGTTTCATAATCAAAACCGGCAAGCAGAATGATCTTCTCTACCTCCGGAGCCTCCTTCTTTCCTGTGCTGCCGCAGCTCCAAAAAGCGTATCTTATGCTCGCTCTATCTTCTCTCGCATACCTTCTCCAGATACCTTCTCTTATAATACCATCATCCGAATCCACGCCCACTTCTTTCCTTCTCATTCTCTGTCCTACTTCTCTACTATGCGGTGCCATGGCGTCCCTCTTGATAATTTCACATTCCCATTTGTTCTTAAAGCATGTGCTCGACTCCAGATTGACCTTCATCTTCATTCCCTCATTGTTAAGCATGGTTTCGATTCTGACATTTTTGTGCAGAACGCTTTGATGAGTGTTTATGGGTGCTGCGGGTCTGTAGAGCTTGCATTGAAGGTGTTTGATGAAATTTCTGAGAGAGACTCTGTTTCTTGGTCTGCCATTATTGCTTCTTTTGTTAATAATGGCTATGCATCTGAGGCTTTGGCCTTGTTCAAACAAATGCAATTGGAAAATAAAGTAGTACCTGATGAGGTAACTATGCTCAGTGTGATATCTGCAGTCTCACACTTGGGAGCATTAGAATTGGGTCGTTGGGTTCGGATGTATATTGGTAGGATTGGCTTGGGAATTTCTGTTGCTCTAGGCACCGCTCTTATTGACATGTTCTCCAGATGTGGGTCCATCGATGAATCGGTTAGAGTGTTTGAGGGAATGGCGGTGAGGAATGTGCTGACATGGACTGTGCTGATAAATGGGCTGGCAGTTCACGGGCGGAGTAGGGAGGCTTTAGCAGTGTTTCACAGCATGAGGAATTCGAGTGTGCAGCCAGATTACGTTACATTCTCTAGTGTCTTGGTAGCTTGTAGCCATGGTGGTCTTGTAAAAGAAGGTAGACATGTTTTTGAAAGCATTCGAAAGGATTATCAGATGGATCCTCTTCTAGAGCATTATGGCTGCATGGTCGACCTCCTTGGTCGTGCAGGCCTACTGAGTGAAGCTTATGAATTTGTTGAAAGAATACCAGTGAAGCCAAATTCAATCATCTGGAGGACTCTTCTTGGAGCCTGTGCAAATCATAACAATCTTGATTTAGCTGCAAAGGTTAAGGGGAAGATCTGCGAGCTGGACTCTTCGCACGATGGCGATTTTGTGCTTCTTTCTAATGCATATGGAGCAGCTGGTAGATGGGCTGAAAAAGCATCAGTAAGGAGTTGGATGAGAGGGAAAAGAATAATGAAGGAACCTGGCTATAGTTTGATTAATGTAGACCAAGTGACTCACGAGTTTGTTTCTGGAGACAGTTCTCATCCTCAATCTGAGGAGATAATGAAGTTCTTAAGCTCAATAATAGGAGAGCTAAGAAACGGTGGTTACACTCCCCACACGGAATATGTGCTACACGATATCGACGAGGAGGAAAAAGAGCATTTTTTAAGTTATCATAGTGAGAAATTGGCTGTGGCTTTTGCTCTTCTTAGTTTGAAAGATAAAAGGACCATAAGGATCATGAAGAATCTTAGAATTTGTCATGACTGTCATTCATTTATGAAATATATTTCAGACAAGTATGAGAGGAAAATAATCATTAGGGATCGCAACCGATTTCATCATTTCGATAAAGGATCATGTTCATGTCATGGTTATTGGTGAAAGTTTCTCCTATAAATGGTTCCCTTTTCCCATATGTGTACTTCAGTAGTGCCAATTCTTCAATGGTATAAAGTTCAATTTTTATTTTTATTTGAATATCTGTGAAGTTCAATTATAGATCAGAACCATTTCATTTCTGCTGTGCCCATTTGGAGACAGATGATAATCCTGTTTCTCATGGGTTGAAAATGATTGTTTTAAAAATATCCATTAAAGATTAAATGCATAGTATTTAAGTTTTTTAGTATCTTGTGTTTTTCAAGTGCTTTAAAAAGACTAAAAGCAAAGCGTTTTTCCCGTTTAATGGGTAGTGTTAAAATTTTAAATGGTACTTTTGGACAAATTTATAGGTATTTTTTGCTTAATTTTCAATAATTGAAAGGAATTTGAAAAAATAAAAAAAATAGATTAAAAATATTTAAAATACTTTTATAAAATGAATGCTTCACTTAGAATTTAGAAATATTTTTTGAAACTCAGATAAAAAGAGTTATTTATCGGTAAGCACTCATATTTTGTCATAATTAAATTTTTCCGTTTTTTAATGGCCAGTAATTTCCTAAGTACTGTTCATTCCAATTTACGACAGGAAGACTCTTCTTATAAAATGTATCGACACAAACTCTCATTTATAAGAATTATTCTTAGAACCGATCAATTGTTGTTGCTTTCACTGAAGAAAAGAGTTCAATTCCAAAACAACACGTTTGCTTCCTTTGCAAATTCCTCAATTTGCCTTCTCTAGCCTACTGTGAGATATAGACAGTTTGAAAAGATCAAGAATGAATTTTGCCAGTTATCGTGCTGGCGGAGCAAGGAGCCTATAGGGAGGATTGGGACAATGAGGAACTCGGGAGGAGCTCAGCTGCAAACAAGACTTATGTATCAGTCTTAACAAGGGTAGAACATTCTAAATAAAATTTCTAACATTCTGTAACTTAGAGTTGAAATTTTGCACTAACATCAAAATTAATAAGGACCTTTTTTCTATTGAAACATTCTCAAAATTAAGTTTTTTGTTTCAATATGTTCCGAAACGGTCCTAAAAGACCCAACTGCCAATGCTAGAACTCAACCCAAAGAACAAATTAAAAAAGGCTCAACAATGGCATTCAACTACAAGTGATAGGGACACTCACTGGCTATTTTGCCAACTGAGGCCAATACATGCCTGAAGATCTAAAAAAAAAATTAAATAATCAAGGCCAATTCTGGTATCATTCTTCTGGGATGAGATTCAATGCTCACTTCAAAAAGTGAAGCATTCATGACACTAAAATCTACATGATTTGATTTACGCATTGATTGGAGAAGAAGAGTCTGGCTAATAAAATGACAACTTTCAATACAAAGAATTACTGACAAAAACATGTAATGAACTATGGTTTCTGTATAAGAAAACTATAAGCAAAGGACATGTCCACCACGCTTTGTTTTTGGCCCTTTAGCTGGATGATGATTAAGCTTCATTCCTTGTTTGATGGTGCTCTCTTCTTTAGGCTTCTATTGAACTTTATCTGTGGAGATCATTAGAAATCACTGACAGTATTGTTTATTCATGCATCATTGAACTTCAGCCTATAAATATCATGATTTGTCTCTCTGCTCATTTTTCCATGAATTTTTTGCAGCCTCTACAGATCTATCACCAGAATCCCCATCCTTCGGTTTGGAGAAGAAAGGATCCCATTCATGAGGTCCAACTTCGCGCTGTCCCTCTTCCAGTAAGGCGTATTTCCAACTATTTTCCTCAATAAAATTATCATCTGTGCGTCCTTCAATAATGTCTTTCCTCAACTTCGTAACCTTGTCGATAATAGCTTGCACCGAGACATCGAAAGCATCTTTCAAGGTCTCCAACTTAGAGCGCGGATCAGCATATACCAATCTCGGAATCATTCTTATTACCTCCTCCTGCATTAGCTTCAGCTGCTCAGGAGAAATTTGAGAAAGCCTTTCTTCTATGCTAACATTCCTCTTGCGGATGTCATCCTCTGGAATGAACACAGAATATTTTGTAAAGTTCTTTGGGAGATGCCAAGTATATTGGGTGTATGCCGACCCTGGATGGAAGAAGACGGGTATGCAACCGGCTAACATTGCATCAAAAGCAGATCTTCTGGTATACGAGTCGCCCTGAGGTTGCAGACAGAAGATGGAGCTCTGGAACATTTGCATTATACTGCTAGGAGAGTGACACTTGCTCTCCCCAAAATCACATTCCAGCAGCTTGCCCACCTTAGAGTTTTTGCATTGATCAATAATCTGCCCTCTTATTGACTTGGGATTGTCGGGACGTGGAGCACCAGCGAACGAGAAGAGCCATTTCCGTTCTAGTTTTCTCATCCGGTCCTGCCAAATAAACACATCAGCATCCTTTGCGGGATGGAAATATGTCGGATATGGAATACCAAAGTCATTAGCATTCCATGGGCTTGATTCAACCACAAGCATTGACATGTTCTTAGCAGCAGGTAAAAACAGGAGCTTATTTCCCCAATCTGATTCTTCCTCAGAAAGCCTCCTGAAATCCCATGTTATCCTACCTGCGACGAGGAAGTGATCTCGACCGCCCATAATGCCCCATTCGGGCCTTCTTTCAAGCCAGTGGACCAAATCAAGTGAAGCTGCATCTCTAGTAGATATATTATATCCCCAAAGGTATCGTGCAATATCAAACCCAGCATAAAATGGCACAAAAAATGCAGCAGCAATTGAAGCATCCTTTGTCAAACAATCATATTGCTTCATTCGATTGCTGAAGATCACATCGACCGCAAACTGATTCGTGGCGTACCACCCTGTATCTGAGAACACTCCTTCCACATTCTCAAGTGGCGGACCAAGCCCAGCATTAGTTGTGAACTTGCACATATTTGTCCAAAGGCTTAGACTCTTGCACTCCTTCAGCATATCCTCATTAAACCTAGAAGGGAGGTCATGAACAAATATATACCTTCCGCCGCATGGATCGCTCTTGTTTTCAATAGTTTTCAATGCTTTAAGGAACGGAAAGTTCTGAATCTCAGGTTTGGCGGTGGACTTAGGTTTCCGGTCCACAGGCTGGGTAGGCTCGCGGATTGATTTCACATCGTCGGCTTTCGGTGCGCCGACAACACGTGAAGGGGCCAATTTCCGGACTACTGGCAAGTTCACAGGTCCATCTTCGGGGCGTAATTTGACCGATTCATCAACAGAATTTCCTCCAAGCACTACAAAATGAAAATACAGCAATAGAATCCAGAAGCACGCCGACAATAACGCCAGAAAACAAAGCCGAGAGTTCGGATTCTTTCCGGCACCCCTCTCCATATGTTCCGACGGGGCACTCGCTACCGGCCGGCGTCTCATCGAATGGAATCACCAACTCCGGATAATCGCCAGGCATCCATTTCGCACGAATCACTCACAAATCCATCTCCAAATCCCAAAATCCATCAAGAACAGCAATACCTCGCTAGACTCCAATTTCCGATGTGAGGAACAGAATTAATTGAAAAGGCTGTAGAACGCAATGCGAAATCGAGTATCAGAAATAGTAACCACGGGATTGGAACCCCGTGACGGACACTCTAGAGAGACAGAAAGAACTAAGAAGATGCAACCCAATGGAGGGTGTGCACTAAACGAGACACGAACCACGAGGAATTATTGGATGCTGTGGTCGATTACATTACATTTAGAAGCAAAATCAAGAAATAAGAAGGAAAATGAAAACGAATCAGAAAGAATCTGAGAGACTGCGAAAATGGAAGAAGAAGAAGAAGAAGAGAGAGAGAGACTTACAGAGTAGACTAGGAATGCTTCCGAGAATTTGGAGTGAAATTTCTCTCGAGACCTTTTTCAGTTCTCTGGGCTGTGGCGCTGTGAGAGAAAAGGGAAATGAATTTGCAAAGTAATATAAGAGAAATTAGAAAATGTGACGCCGTTAAGGAACCCGCGCACGTTAGCAACTCGATCCGCCACCGTATTGGACTGTTGTCGGTAGTCGCTACGATTGCGCCACGTGTGACTGATCTACGTGTCCCATAGTGAAAATTGATGCCATCCGGAAATTACGGTGGCATGGCCAAAGGGTAAAAAGGGGAAATTGAAATATTGAAGACCGTGCCAGATGTTGGGGTTGATGAGGAATACGTGGAAGGCTGTGATTGGATGGAATAAACTTAGATCTAATGGTTTTTCACCCTCACTCGGTTTGTGGGGTCAGATCTCGTTTTATATTAGCCGTCCGTCAGCGGGTTTTTTACTGGCTGAATTATTTCACTCATACAATATATATATTCTTGATTTACGCGAGTTGAGAAAAATAAAAATTCAACCTATAAATATTTTTAGGTCTTGCCCAAAAATAAAGAAATAAATATATGTATATATATAGGACTTGTCTCATCTCTAAACCGGTTACACGTAAGTAGTTCTTCTCTAGATGAACTTACAAATGGAAATTAGTATTAGCATGGAGTTTGACAAAATATTTTTCGATACCTAAATTAGAACTCAGGAGGAGTAATGAGTGTGTCAAATTAAGATTGATTACAAGAGTTCGTATACCTTTAAAAAATGGTTTGATTATAAATTTTACAAGTGGAGAATGTAGAAAATGTGAGGTTTACTTCACAAAAGTCCTTAGAAGAACAATGCAACAACGTAAAAGAAGATTTCCTTACACCTTAATTGTCCTTCTACCGAATATCAACTAATAGTCCGCTAATGAAAGTACTCGAGACTCGAAGCTTCTCCACACTCCCATCTTCCTCGCCTCGAGCTACCTAGCGCCCAGGTTAATATATGCAAAGCAATGATAGTTCATGTGGAGCTTCAAAAGTAGATGGTGTTGAAAACTTTAAAAAAAAAAACTTTTAGAGTTCTTTGGAATGTGTTAAAAATAATACTTAAATTTTGTTAATTGTCTTTCATTTTTCAAATAATTTATTTGTCTATAGTGATTATTTTTTAAAAATATGTATAGTCCAAATATATTTTTGAAAAATACCCTTTATTCTTCCATAGAGTAAAAAAAGAAGAAAAAAAGGGAAAAAGTCACAAGTAGTAATGCGTAAATATTTGAAATTGAACAGTACACAAATTCCTTTTCAGACACAATTTACAGTATTGTTTAGTGGAAAAAAAAAGGTTTAATTTAAAAGTCAAAGGAAAAAAAAGGTTCAATTTCTTTGATGACATTAATGACGTGATCCTATTATTGAATTATAATATTGCGTTTGAGCCTTTGAGGATCTCCAGTATCCTTCAATTAAAGAGTTATTAATATTATTGTCAAATAATTAATAAAATTATGTTTTTTTTTCTCTCTTATTGAATTAAATTACAGCTGAGGTTGCAGGCCTGGCGGCTGGCGCCACATGCAAACTTGTGAAACCATCATTTCCCTTCTCTCTTGTGGAACGGAGAATCGCTTTCCTTTTAAAAGATTCTCTCCCTCTCTAAATTTAAGAGAATTACAAAATATTAAAAATTGAGCACTTTTTTATCCTATTTTATCTCTCTTTCTTTATATATTTATAATTTTTCCAACCTTGCATCTAAATATTATCTATTGGGTATCTTTGGACGCACCTCAACTAATTTCACTAGATAACCAAGATAACTTGTAGAATATTAAATCTACGTAGGTGGCTACCATAATTTGAACTCGTTTCTTCTAAACTTTTTATTATTTACATTGGTCCTCGTTGATTATTAGGTCACATCATGATGGTTCATTTAAATTAATAAATAAGAATGTTACTCTTTTAAAATAAACTAAAAATTTATGTAGGAAGTCAATTCAAGCATAACTCAATGAATAAAATATTTATTATCTTTTTAAAGCTCAATGTTGGATCCTTACGATCACCCCATATTTGTTGGACATGTTGGGTCAACTAAAATCCATAGACATAAAAAATGTTGATCATGCTTTGATCACTTATCSATTTTTGAAAACTTATTACTTTGAATGTGAAATATTAAAATCTAATTTAACGAGTGGCATGAAGTAAATCCTCGAATTAGGAGCTTGACTTTTAGTTCATGTTTTAAAAAAATTATCATGATTAAATATAAATGGGTTTGGGGAGAAATCAACACCTACTCTCCCATTCTCTAATATTCTATTTTTATTTCTATGAAAATTCTCATAATTACTCTTAGCATTTTAGAGTGTAAAAGAGAAACTTGGGGAAGGAATGTTTGAGCTTCTTTGCATTATAAAAAGGAAGGTAAATCTAAAAGATTAGACAAGTTTTCAAATCACAAACCACCATTTTTTGACTTATTACCAAAACTAATAAAATAAACAAAATATAGATTAGTCAAAATTGGACATAAAAATAGGTATTTGTCCAAAACAGCCACCTCGCTGCGAATCAAAAACCATTTCCGAAACACCCCACGTAGGAAGAATTTGGGCGACCGAAATATTAATAAAATAAGTTTAAATATTATTTTTGTTTACATACTTTCAAGTTTTGGTTCTAATAATTTTAATATTTGTTTAACTACCAAAAGGAGAAGAGATCCTTAATCACTTGCATCATAAAAATGGTAAATTTTTAGTGGTCCTTTAAACTCATTTATGATTTGATTTTGTGCATTAAGTTACAGCCCTGCATGTTGGGAAGGCCATGTCTGCAGGTATGGAATCATCCCATTTTATTAAATTTGGTTGAGTGGGCTGCCACTAAGTTCACAACACTATTCACCATTTCTACATTGTGGGGTGACTCTCTTGACATCATACCAATTTAATTAAGAAATATGATGCCTAACTTTCATACATTATCATGACTTTGCATTTGGGTTTTTTCAATTGAGGTAATTACATAAATTTTGGTATCTCATAAAAGGTAAGAGCTTTTTTTCTTTAATAAATATTTTGTTTTTAGAAAACAAAAGGCCTAAAAAATGAACGGTCAGGACTGAATCATCCCCTATTTTTCATGCATTTTTAGATGTTAATGTAACAAGAGTCATGAATCAGGAATTTAATGCCATGGCCCTCTCTAGTGTCTTCCTTAAATACTTTGACATGCACCAAGGGAGCAGTTGCTGGGTTTTTTGGGGGCAACCCATGAGATGGTTGATTCATCTTTTCATGCATATTACTTGTACTGAGAGTTGTCTGCATCAATTTTCTTACTATTTAGTATTTTCGCTCATTGTTTCTCTCCCCTTTAAAACAAAAATTACAAATAATTTTAACATCAAGTATAGATATTCGAATCAAGTTAATTGGGTCATTTAATTTGATGATTGGAAAATATTATGCTATGTACTTCGCTCAATAGCTTAATCTTAACCATCAGCTTTAAATCATCACATTAAACTCTAAACTTGAATAAATGGTAAAATAATAACAGTTAATATTTTGTTGAAAATTAAATCTTATATTGGGGATGCTATTTTGTTGCTAAGAACACTTTTTCCTTATGTGACTTTTTTGCTTAAGACAATTTAAACATTGTTCTTTGAAACTTGCTCTAAGTACTGATTTCACGAGATATGATGATATCTTGCAAACCACCAATAAAAAATTAACAAGTTTCTTATTTTTTGAAAACAGAAAAAATCTAATTTTTATCTCTCTCCTACTTGTCACAAATTTAATAGTGGTCAGCAAAAGAAGCTACTCACGAGGAAGCACCAATATTTTTCTGGAAATTAAGATAAGTGACCTACGTTTCAATTTGCAAGCAAAATGGAAGCCTCATTTTGCAGTAACTTCCAAGCAGCATCAACATGCTTTTCCTCTGTCAATGGCGCCCCTATTGCAAATCGAAGGATGTATTTTCCTGATAAAACCTGCAATTTTGTTGACATTAAGTTAACAGAAACAAACCTCACGCAACTAATATCAGTATTATCCCACCTTTACATTGCTTAAGGCGACCATGTAGTGACAAGACAGGATTACCAGCTGGGGAATTCTACAACAAACTGAAACTACTTACCGTGTGAGAAATGAAAATATTTCCAGTTGCATTTACAGCATCTAATAGGCTTTGGTTTAGTTTGTTGCCATCATCTTCACTTTTGCGAAGAGGCCGAAGGCGAAAACATACTAGGGAGACTGTTCTGGGTGTAACAATCTGCACAAACAAACTTAAAGAGTGATGATTGGAACGAACCATACTTAACAATCTGCATTAGCGGGTTAGTATTGAACCTCCGCTTCCAAAAGAAGGAGTTGATGCATAACCGCTAATTTAGAGTCATTTTTATTTTATTATTTATACAACCTTTCCCTGCACATTAATTTTCTCATCCTTTTTTCTATATCAATGCCACAAGATTATGTCGTGACTTTGTAATGATGCTGAGGGTCTAAAGGAAGCAATATCGTAGATCAAAAGAGTATGATAAGAATTTACAACCTCAAACCTTGGATCCTGAGATACAAGCGCTTCAAAATGTTCAGCCAACTTGACATGGTTTCTTATGTATTTTTGAAGGTTTTCTACACCGTATAGTCGTAACACCATCCAGAGCTTTAATGATCTAAGACACAAAAAGCATAAATTACTCTGGCAGTATAACATTTCTCAGAAACATTGAATGGAAATGAAAAATGCTCATACAAAATATCCGTGCAGGTTTCCTTTTGTTCTTTTCCTAGTTTATTCAGGGTGTATTGTGGTGCATTTTTCTTCTCAATCCCAAAGATTTGAAAATTTTTAAACTTGATATATTGATTCCTGAGAAGGCTTCGGGACAAAACATCCGTCCAAAGTTGAACTGTATCTAGATGTGCTGTCTTCTTGTCACATTATAAATATTAATAACCCTTAGACTGAAAATAGGTTAAAAACACCTTTGATCCATGTACTTCTATTGATGTAACGATTTAGTCCATAAACTTTAGTTTATAACGATTTAGTTTTTATACTTTCAAATGGGTAACAATTTAGCCCATGAATTTTAATATATAACAATTTAGTCCATGAACCTTAGTATATAACAACTTAATTGTATTTTGAAGTTTGTAACGAGTTAGTCCCTATTATGAAAATTTTTGTTAAGTTTCTTATATATATATAGATTGATAAACCTACAAGGACCAAATGTGTTTCTAAATTATAAAACTAAATTTTTAATACGATAAAAATTGACACTTAATTTTGATGAGATTTTGCACAATAGGTACTAAAAATTGTTACAAATTATAAACTATAAGGACTAAATTGTTACATACTAAAGTTCAGGATTAAATTGTTGTCAATTTAAAAGTACAATTGTTACCACTTTAAAGATACAATGGCTACCAATTTGAAAGTACTTTGATTAAATCGTTACAAATTAAAGTTTAGAGACTAATTGTTACTTTAACAAAGTATAAGACCAAATGTATTTTTTAAAATTTGAAAATATAAAAACGTTTCTAGACAAGACACATTGTTTAAAGGCACACCTAAAACGGCGTCCAAGTGGAATTTGCCAATCTTTATAATCCAGGACCATTTCTGCTTGAGATGCCTGCAAATATCAATTGCATTTGAGATCGAACATGAAAAATAAGTTATACGGATACTATAACGATTTCAGTTTCCCCATGCATCCACACTGCTCACATATTTTGCTGCAAGCGTTCTCAAAAGATTAAGAAGTAGATTGTGGGTCAGACTTACTTTGTTCTTCAAGTACTCGGGATTAGTAGAGAGGGACTGAATCAAGGCACGCCTGTCCTGTGGCCATAATATACGTGAATTACCATTAAAATAAGAAATTTTAAAAAAATATCAGATCCACCAAACAGTTATCCAATGCCTCCCTTTTAATAGTGTAGATGAAGAAATAAAAGAGAACTCGACTACATTTAATTTCTATTGTTTTTCCAGTCCTTTCTTTTTCCTCTTTCTGGAGGGGAGGCGATGGGAGGAATCTATCAGGCTTAGGGAATTCGTATATGCAACTATGAACAAAGTACATAAGCATGCTAACACATGTTTTACTGAATAAAGCAGTCATTTCATGGAATCCTATCAGTGGACAGTAGATATTGTTATGCATATACCTTGACCCACAGTGTTGAACAATCAAAGTTCGTCAAAAACCATTTATGAGCATTCATATTGAATGAGTCAGCTTCTTCAACACCATTGATGTATTGGCGATATTCAGGGCATATACATGCACTTCCAGCATAAGCAGCATCCACATGAAACCACATTTCATACCTCTGTCAATGACTCAATAATAAGGATTCTGCTCATAATAATTAAAAAAAAAAAAAAACTGAACTTCAATCAGAGATTCAGAGCAAATCTATGAAGCACAAATATAAAAAGAATATAGTATTTTTACAAATGTGTGCACTGTACATGAATGAAGTCTACATAAACCTATATGGTAGGTAGCTGGTTTAATATGCTAGCAGAGCGAATGTTACTTTATTCCGTTTAGCCCTAACTTCCCCAGTTACATATATTAAATCCAAGCAGAATGTCTGTTTAAATTGAAGTTATTATTGCTTGATGATTAAATTCACCATAATTAAGCCTTAACTTTTGAATGACTAATGTAACTATTTGATTCTGTGAAAATGAGGATAAGTGTATGAATACAGCCCATTGTATTTCAAGGGTCTGCAACGTACTGAATATATGAGGGCTTTTGTTTCCAGCTCAGTTCTTTTTGATACAATATTAAGTTGAACAAGATCATATGCTTAGACTTTCCTTTATCCAACTATGGTTAAGATAATGAGGCTTGTCTTTCTGGAGCATGATAAAAAGTAATAGAGAATGAGTAAATCATATAAAAGCGTCTCCATACTAATATGATTTGTCATTTTATGTTTAATTTTAATTTGTAAAGACCTTGCAGAAACTATTCCATTCTATTCAGAAAACTGTGTTAACCTTAGCAATACTTCCAAGCGCAGGGAGAGGGTCCATGGCTGTTGATGACGTGGTTCCGACCTGCATGCATGAGCATCAAATCTGAATTACTGAAACACATTTCTGCAGCCAGTACTATGATGTTAATACATGTGGCTCATTAAAATCTGGTAATAAGACAATTCAAATCCTAGTTAAAAGACTAAACATGGTTCTAGCACAGAAAAAAATCTAGAACACAGGTTCTTCTTCACTGTCATCTTTAATGTTTTTTTTTTCTTTTCTTTCTTCCTAGAAAAGATAAGGTTGAAGTTGGCCAATCAGATTGGCCAGTATAAACCCGAAAAATCAGGCAGCTCTGCAAATATATGTAATTCACTGATGACCTTCTAAAAGCCACTGTTAATTTATACTAAGTGTAGACGAACTAGCCTCCATGAAACTCCATCAATCAGAGAAAGTGGCTGGTACGTTAATTATTCGAGAGCAAGTATAGGGGAGAGGCAGGAACCATAGGTACTTCTGCAACATGACAACTTATATTCAATGGAAGTATAGAGATGATGAGAAAGCTTATTCTTCATTCTTACAGTAGCACATAGGAAAAGGGGAATTAATCCAATGGCACTGTCGTGGGAAATTTCTTCAGAAAGAACATTAGAAGAAAGGGCATAATTAGTAGATAAATCTGCTTTTAACAATCTGCAATTCTCAGGATGAATGCCTGCAATCTGCCAAAGAAACACAAAACAAAAATATAGAATTAAATATAGATCAATGGTCATTATTATTATTTTTTCCTCTTTCTTTCTGAAGTCCAGATTTATTAAGCAACTGACAATTTATTTATTTATTATTTATTTATTTTGACAAAAAACAAGAACTTTTCTTGAAACCGAAGCCAACTGACAGTCAAAATAGTATCTATGATAGATAGATTATAATAGGACTTTTTACACATATGGCTCAAGGAAAACTTGATAGATAATGATAGGACATTTTTTGGGGGGGTTTAAACGGATGATGATAGGACTTGTACATATACTCAAATACAAAAAGAAATCAACAGTATATTTACATCATATTAACGTTGAGGAAGCCAACAAAGCAGGAGACACAATCTTCAAAATAAAAGAAGAGAAACAACAGTAAAAACTAAACTTCAAAATTAAGCATCCCCTGTAGCCTACGCTTTGTACTCAATAGCATCTCCAAACTTATATAATATAATGTAGAATCTTGTACACAAGAGCAAAAAGGTATCCCACGTTAATTAAATATGATGTGTATCAATAAAATTGTTCAAAGGATTGTGTTTGGAATGGGTTATTGCATCATTCATAACATAAATATGCCAATGACATGGTAAATCACCTCGCTGAAAGAATAAATATTGAAGGCTGATTCAAACTTGAATATTACACCTTCGAAATACCTGGCATGCTTTTTGTAAAGCACTATGTGCCTGATCAGATGCATAAACCACTAGTTTTTTAAGGTAATCTTTTCCAAATCTCCTCAGAGCTCGATCACGGGCTGCTAGTAGCACAACTAAAACAGCTTCACTGGCAGTTCCCTGTATTACTCCCCCACCCTTTCCTGCAGCAAGATTTCCAGTTTTGTTACATGAATCTCAGAGAATAGCTTAATGCAAACCAAAGTCTATCATGCAATCACATCAAAGTAATAATCACTTTATGCCCTCGTCTTTTCATATTAGGCCACTACAGGATTTCAGGATTACATATGGAAATCAATTACAAGTTTCTCAAGTAACCTTGACTTCAAATTATTTCAGCATGGAAGTATGTCCAGCGATTGTTATGTGATTACTTGATACTCTTTTCCATTCTAAGAGTAACTGCAAACTCCCCCACAAGACAAGAGACTCTTCCTCTTAGTGGAGATGGAGAGATCAAGTAACCACCCAACCAAATTAACTTTCAAGCCCACTATGTATATTAATATGGAAAGGATTTATTAGTGAAAGGTACGTGACATTAATTGATTGATTTAATAGAGAAACATATCAGATACTTAAAAAGATGAATCAGAATCACTCAGTAATATAATATTTAATCAGTTACTTGAGCTTTATAGCTTCCCTTGTTTGAATTGACCAACATTAGCTGAGATCTCCACTTAATAAGGAAAATTTTATAAATATGAAATGGACACTTCAAAAGTTGAGTTGAAAGGAGAAAATAACGAGGGAGGAGGCTCCATTGTTCACCAGAAAACAATCAAAAGCAACATCAGAATCCAAGGGACTACCTGACGAGAGAAAGTCATCGGGCAGCTTAAGTAATTTGGCAAGCCAATCAAGAACAATCGTCTCAAGTTCTGTAGCAGCTGGAGAAGTTATCCAACTAAAACCCACAATGTTAAATGCTGCACTGAGCATTTCTCCAAGAAATCCGGCAATACTGCTATTACTAGGAAAATAAGCAAAGTAGCTCGGGCTCTGCCAATGTGTTACACCCGGTAAAATATTTTTCTGTACATCTGAATCACGAAAATAAATTATTAACAATAAGATTACAGCTTACAAGGTCCACCTCCCCCTATAACCTATGATTACAACCAATAATTTAAAATTATGTTACAGTTAAATCCATAAAATGACTTGAGTTTTAAGCCTGTCCCCAAAAGAGTAAAACGTTTTTGGGTATTAACTACAACTTCATCCTTCCATAAGAAGATTAATAAATTTTACCATCAAGAACACTTTGAAAAGATTCCGGATGATGAGGCGCGGATTCTGGTAGAAGGTTTCGAAGATAACCGGGCTGCATGAAAACACCAAAATATAAAAAATTAAAAGGAAAAAATGTCATTCCTTTAGGCGAAAAGAAAAAAAATCACCTCCCTGTACCTGATAAACTTACTACTTTAGAAAAATAAAAATTCAGTATTTATTTCTTACTTCTTGCTTTTCACTTTTGAAAAAATGATGAAAATCCATGTGCTCTTGATTATATTTCTTTTCCCCCTTATTTGTTATTTTAAAATAAAGATAAAAAAATTCATCATTGATGGAAACTGAAAATAAATAATTCTAAGAATAACGTTATTAATCTTTTGTAAGACTAAAAGTAAGATAAATAAAAATAATGATTACCATCCATTTCAATAACAATTTTATTTTTAATATGCTTCTTTACTTTTTTAAATCTCTAGAAATTTTAGCCAAATATAAACAATAAAATGTAACTTTGAACTATTTATTAGTTTTTAAGAAAAACACTTTAAATTTACAGATAAAAAAATAAATAAAGTTATTCTAAAAATGAAAATAGAAAAGAAAATGGTCGTTGGGCCGTATATTATTTCAATTTGTTCGCAATTTTAAGAACTAAATTTTAAAAAGCAAGGAAAAGAAATTGGTTAAGTAAGAAAACAAAAATATTACCAAAATTAATTTGGAAGGGTTGCAAAATTATAATATAAAACCAAAAMAAAAATGAGGAAGAAATTTGTGAATATATTTGAAGAATGAAACTAGGTAATGGATAAAATTGTCTACTACTGCTGTGAGAAACGTCTAATTAACAGAACACATTCACATACTTTGCAGTTTGCAGGCATTATACATAATTTTGTTGAGAAGTTAACCAAGTAAAGCATAATGAATGCGTAGAACGGTAAAAGGAGGAACGAAAAGGCGATGGAATGAACCTCTACTTGACTGAGCACAGGGAAATCCTGGATGCTTTTGTAGTAATCAGCAATGAAATCCACCATTTTATGAGCATGCTCTCTGAGTTGCTCCGCGTCCATCGGCTTCAAGTCATTATCCCTGTGGACTCAAAAATCAACCACAGAAGAAAAAAAAGCGACAATCAATGGCTGAAATTCTGCAGTCAGAGAAGAAAACGAAGATGGAAAAAGCAGTGTACGAGCTCGTAACCTACATTTCTCTGCTCGTAATCCTCGAAATTGGCTACGGAAAGTGAAACGGGTGTCCGGATGATCCGACGGAGTCAGCAACGACTTCTTACGAAGATTTGAGCGCAACAATGGTGGAGGGGAAAAATCATAAATAACGACGATGGTATTGGCCCGGAGATTATGTACTGTGACGCGCCTTGAACCATTCAAAACTTACTCACGCTCAAATAAAAAATATTGGTTTCGTTTCTTATTTTCTGTTTCTAAAACTTATAATTGTTTTCTCGTAAATTCTTTATTATATCTTTTACATTTCCTTCTTAGCTAGTTTTTAAAGATAAAAACTACTTTTTTCAAACTACTAATTATTTGCAAAATTTGGCTTATACTTTTAAAAGGTTAATAACAAGATAAAATAATACATATAAATTTAAGTCTAATCAACAAAAAAACGAAAACAAAAAGATCATCGAGACGAGCATAAATTATTTATAATATCAATATCTTCAACTTGAAACTACTTCTAAATTTCACCATTTAAATTGATTAAAATATGTTCATGGACTATTTTACCATTAAAATATATAACAAAAACTAATGYCATTGTTTGAGATGTAATTTTACCCATGGCAAATATCAATGATCATTAGGCAATTACTTTTCAGAGTCATATTTGCTATTGGTACTTTAAAAAAAAGAAAAAACATATCATATTTGCTATTTTCTTTTTAACGTACCAAAATGGTTTTTTTAGTACAACACATGTAGAGTGGAAATTTGAACCACCAAATAAAAGTTATATGATATTTCACTTTTAATTAGTTTATATTAATGATTTTTTTACACATAATTTTAGGAAAGAAGTACATGAATAACCTAATTGAAAATCCAAACTTCAGGTGTCCAAATTTACTAAAAATTCACTATTGTCTTCTTAGTGCCTATTTACGATAGAAGTCTAATGGTAAATTACAACGAAGTCCCTACAAAGATATATTTTATTTAAACAATTGATTTTAGTAAAACTTAAAATCATTTACAATTGATTTTTAAGATATCATTTGGACGATGATTATGGAAAATCAATTATTATTATATAGAATATGAATAAGTAAGCTAAGTCAAGATACGAGTAACAGCCAAATAAACAAGACATCCGATCAACTAAATATCAATAGGACTCCATATCTAAGAGAGAAGGGCATGTGGCACGCGCCAATTAAATTTAATTGGTAAAAACAATTAAATAAGTGTAAATTAGTTGAAGTAYTAATACTTAATAATTAAATTGATATTATAAAATAGTTAAGATAATATGAAATATTATTTATAAATATACTATTTTTTTAGAAGATACTCATTTTTTTAATAAAGTATAAATATACTAATTAATTTTTTTAGTATTAAATATAAACAATATATTTATGTTAATGGTTAATTAAGTCCAATAAGTAATAACTAATTATTTTTTATGATAGGAATAATGAATTATTATTAAATAATTAATTAAGAAACTATTTATTTATCATTAATATATTATTTAAAAACTTTATTATTAATCTCTCAAGCATAATTAATGGTTAATTAAGTCTAATAAGTAATGATTAACTAATATTAAAGATATTCTCAGAAAAAAAAAACTAATATTAAAGAATGAATTAAGTATACTTGTTATGGGAAAGAATAATGATTGGAGACACAACCTCCACGCAGTGAGAAAATTCGACATGGGCCCAAGTTGAAGYATAGACGAGTAGAAAAGACCTAGAAGCCCCACGAACGAACAATACTATAAAGTCGAAGGTACGACTAGGTTCAAGGTGTGACCAAGTCTAAAGTCTGGAGATCATGTCTCAGCCGCCAACATACTGATTATCGATGAGATTATGCTCGCTTTTATAATGGATTAATTATACTATTTATTTATTATTAATCTCCCAATCATGTTAACTCGAACTCAATTAGTTAAAACATGTATCTTCAACCTATGATAATATTATATTTATTGATACTCTTCGTTTTTCTTTTTCCTTAAGTTTTTTTGTTCTACAAAAACTTTGATAAGTTCTCGTATCCTTTACTATCTTAGCACCATAACTCTGATTGTTTGAGTCAATTCGACAAATACTACATTGGTGTTGGTTGAATAATATGGTTACCTTTATCTATTTTTATAAGTCGTCATTATTGGTTTCTCACATTCTATCAAACGTTATTTTTAAATCCTTTGATTATATCAAAACATTTCATCCCATTCAATTCAATTTCTCTAGCCCGTCTCAAATTCAATTCGATATCTTCCGGCACTCTCTCAGCAACCAATGGAGGTCGACAGCGTTCCCTCCACGACGCTGAATTTGTAACGGTAGCAGATCCGACCCACGATAGATTCCTCCATCAGCAACCACCCACAGCAGCGCAGCTCAGACACAACGACTCATGTAAGACTAGCGTTGGGGTGGTATCCCCTTCGAAGGCACAACGCCGAAGATTTGCAGCAACCCGACGCCACAACTTCCACAACTTCAAGTGACCTCCAGTGATCTGTTTGTGGGTTGCCAAATATGTTCGTGGTTGCCACTGGTCATCGATCTCGGCGTCAGCYATTGTTCTAGGGGGTCTCATCACTGGCCTAAGGTTTCCACACGTGGGTATGGCRAGGAGTTCACAGGGGAGGTCGCCACTAGGTTGACGCTTGTTATTGGAGAAGACAACAGAGAGATGATAAAGAGGGGGAGACCAATGATGTATATACCATTATATATTATATAACACATGGGGTACATGATTATTGTAAGTTTGATTAAATAGTATATATTATGTAGCTTTTTAATTTAGTATATAACAATAAAAAATATATATTATATAATCTTTTGAGAAGTATATATTTATCATATTGTATATGAAAAAATTAAAATGGAAAAAAAGAKGTAGAAAAATAGAAAAGCACCAAAAAAAAATATACGGTCGAAAATTCAGAAAAGAACTACCAGATATATCATGCTTAATACATCAAATCCAAATATGAAAACTTTTGTACAAAACAAATTCCAATAAATCAACAAATGGARAAAAAATTGAATGATAATCAAATCTAATTATTTAGTTGAGGACAATATTGAGATCATAATGCAAAATTAAACTCTGTAAAATTTGAAAATCTAAAATCATATGTGAAACAWAGTCTCCAATATAATCCAAGAGAAGAGAATTCCTCCCTCAATTATTAGTTAATATTGGTTGGTTGGGCCTTTTCTCCATGATCCATGGGAGCAGTGCGATTTACAATGGGCCGAAGCTAGGCCATCATAATTCAGCTACTGTGCTTCAGTCTTCACATGTCGCCCGCCCAACCGGTGACCTGCTGCTGCTGCAAGAGACTCGACAGAGAACAAGTACAAATCCTTCATTTTGAAAGGAAAATACCTTGATTCTTGAACTCGCTCGCTGACGCTGGGAAAGTGCAAAATCACCGTATTGTGGCGCCACAATGGCTGTTAGTGTTCAGCTCTCACTCTCAGGGCTCTCCCTGCACTTGCCCCCCACTCGTGCAATCCCGCCTCACGTTTTTCACTGTCGAACCGGACCATCTCTCGCGCCTTCCCATTCTCCATCTTCGCCCYACCCCACAATTCAGGTAAACGCATTCAAATTCTTTTCTTTTTTTCCCTTCATCGCCTCAATTCGCTGTGTTCGGAACACTAAGGTGGGAAATTTTATCTGTATAATTCGCGGGTTGAGTTCTAGCATTGTAGCTTCCATCTTCTATATCACTACCTCCAGAATTCGTTATTGGTTTCATATGAGCTGTATTATTTTCATTCCTTTGCTTTTTCTTGAAAAATATCATCCTGTATTCTGGAACTACTCTATTATCATGTTGTAGAACTTATCTTAAGTAGTAACTGAATAAAGTTATGAAATTGTGATACGAATGTTTTAGATTGTTGGTGGGAAAACATCAAATTTCTTTGGAGATGGAAGCTCCCAAGGTACATCTAACAGCGGCCAAGTCGAGAGAGATTGGGTTGATTTTGAGGCTGATCTGTATTACTGGACAAAGGCCTTGCGTCCCGTCCAGGTACGGTTAAATTCTGTTATAGAAAATTGGGCAAGAAGTTTCTTGATGAATAAATATTTTTCTTACTTTTTTGTTTGCACTTTGTACTGGCAACTCGGCAGTGGTATCCTGGCCATATAGCAAAAACAGAGAAAGAACTGAAGGATCAACTAAAGTTGATGGATGTTGTGATAGAGGTTCGAGATGCTAGAATACCCATGTCTACAAGTCATCCACAGGTTTTGCATCCAAGTTCTGATTTTATTCATTGCATTCTTGACTCGCAAATTTTATGTTTTATGTATTTAATTCATTAAAATGTTTGGGAGATTTGACTTGAATATTTTCAGTTTCTAATTGGACTATTAGACACCCATAGCTCGCTAATACGGTGTCATAGAAGTGGAAATATGTCCAGAGGCTAGATTTGTCTTTTTTGGGTCACTAAAATACAGAGTATTAGAACTGCTTTTATTCACCACATTTTAGTGTATGTTACACTGACTGTTTACTAAAGGTAGAAATTCTTTTTCTTTCATCACGACGAATTATCTTACCATGTTCTTTTCTTTTCTTTACTATTTATTTATCATTCCTTGAATAGATGGACGGATGGCTTGGTAATAGGAAACGAATATTGGTATTGAACAGAGAAGATATGATATCTTCAGCAGACCGGAATGCTTGGGCAACTTATTTTACGGGACGGGGAATTAAATTAGTATTTTCGAACGGGCAACTTGGAATGGTATCTAAATTAGTGAATTTTTTTTCTGATGATCCTGACCTTGATGTTGTATTAGTAGATAATGCTCTCATGTGGTAACTGTAGGGCACAATGAAGCTAGGGCGGTTGGCGAAGACACTGGCAGCTGATGTAAATGTCAAACGTAGGGCAAAAGGACTACTTCCTCGCCCGGTTAGTTGCATGAAATGACTAAATTCTAATGCTTAACCTTCTTTTTTTAAGGTTTTTATATATCTGGAGTTCTTTTATGCCAAGTGTATATCTTCACATCATAAATGATTTTTGTTCTACTTCTTACATTAACGGACATACAGAAGCACCAAAAGGACATTAAGCCTTAAGCTTGAGTGAAGCATATTATTAGCTTGTAGAGGATTATTTGGATAACTGCTTAACGCTCACCATGTTGCTATTTGATATTTTTCTGGGCAATGACAATTTGTGAAAATTATGGTGCTATATTGGGTTTATCCTCTATGGTAAATCAGAAATATTTTCAGAACATACCTTAGAGAACCTTAGTGATTTTTGTATAGGTTCGTGCTGGAATAGTTGGATATCCTAATGTTGGGAAATCATCTCTGATCAACCGCTTGCTCAAACGTCGAATGTGTCCAGCAGCTCCAAGACCAGGTGTCACCAGAGAGTTGAAGTATGCCACCTATTTTTTGTATCTGTATAGTGTTGATTAAGATGTAGAATCTGGGAACGGGGGAGGGGAATGGGTTGTATAGCCATTTTTCTTGCATTTTGGACGATGACATTGGATTCTCTTCTAAGTTGATTCTAATTGGAGTTCAATGATCTGTTTCAATAACTGTCTCCTTATTTCCTTTCTCTTGTAAAAGGTGGGTTCGTTTTGGGAGTGATCTAGAGTTGCTTGACTCTCCTGGTATTATACCAATGCGGATTAGTGACCAGACTGCTGCAATAAAGCTTGCTATATGCGATGACATTGGAGAGAGGTCCTACAATGTTGCTGATGTTGCTGCCATCCTTGTACAGATTTTGACCAAGCTTCCATCAGTAGGTAATACCATGCAAATATTTTTATCTCTTGCAATTTTCTAGAATTCAAGTTATCTCTCTTGGTGGGACATAAACATTTCCTGCACTAGTAACGTGTTAGTCAATTCATTTATATTCACCGACTTCATTACTTGATGGAAAACTGCAACTCCTAAACTGCAGCATACATTTGCTAACACGTTTCACCTGCTAAAATGACATGTTTCCTAATTGTTGATAAATGATACTAGTTCTTTTCAAATCTCCAGGTATAGAATCACTTCAAAAGCGATACAGAGTTGATGCAGACGGTCAATGTGGTGACATGTACGTTATTGTATGCTGATCAACAGTTTTATCTCTACTTTAGTCTTTCATGCATGAAGCATCATGATTTCTTGATGAGAAAACTGTATCTCGCTTCACTTTCCTTCCACATTGTCACCTTGGGTTAAGTTCTTTCTTTAATCGGTGGGACGGAATTTTTGACTCAAGAATCTCTCTGCAGATTAAAAAAAGAAAAACATACATATTTGGAGTCCACAAATAATTCCTAGTAAATTGTTGGTGGCAGATTTGTTCAAAAGTTAGCGCTCCAATTGTTCAACGGGGACAGTCATCAAGCGGCTTTTCGCATCTTATCAGATTTTCGCAAAGGAAAGTTTGGTTGGATTGCTTTGGAGAGGCCTCCCAGATAATGCTGTTGCTGTTGGATGAGTCGATGATGGCTTGCTTGGAGGTCGGAATTTCAACTTCTCACTCTTATACGATTCATATAAATGCTACAGGCCACCTGGTTTAGAATTAGAAACTCTTAACAGACCAGAAAGCTTCACGATGTCTATATTGCTCAACTTTCGGAGTTATGGAGGAGAGCACAAAACTGGAGTCCTTGATCTCATAAAGTCGTCAAGGAGTCTCATTAATTTGTGAAGCCCATGTGTTATATTATGTAATATATGTTTTTAAACTACTCTTGTAATTAAAATTGTCTATTTGGTTAACTTGCATTTGTATTCTAAATGAATTTTTACCATAAATATCTTTATCAGCTGGTCTCATGTGCTGCATACTGTACATTGTTTAGGCGTTTATGATGTTGGCAAAACCAATGGAAACATTTTCACTAGAAATGAATGAAAATGAGTACATCTTCCTGGATGGTTTTGCAAACCAAAAGGGAGCTTGAATATGCAGACGATATGAATCTCTTCGGTTTCTTTCTTTAGTAAATGCAAAGCTCAGCAATGGGGCAACAGAAGTAAAAGCTCAATTGCTTCACTTCTGAATCAGGTTATTTGAGTAAGTTGATAGAAGCACAATAAATGAGAATCCATGTACTGAAGGTACTGTAAGATGGACGGTACAGTTCTGCACAACGATCATAAGAATGGTCAAGCAGCTACTGGAACTTTTAGGGACTCTAGTATCTTATCATCTAAATCAAACTGAATAGATTTCTTGTCTCTACCAATCTTCACGTACTCTTCAAATCGCTCCTTCAAATCTTGAGGAAGATATGTGRTGCCTTTCCAGCCTAGAATATCCTGAGCCGCTCTCGGCTCTGCATAGAAATGCTGCAGAATACAATGGGTAGCAATGTCTTGAGAGTCTATATTGACCCACCAAAATGCCAAAGAAACTATTTCATTTTACTCACATATGTCCTGAAAGGAAAAGCTTTCTTTGCATCAATCCCAACTGCTTTTGGATCATAATGCACAATCTTAACCGAACGTCCTGCTGCTTGAGCACATAACTTGGCCATTCCATCAAGGGTCACAGCGCGATSGCTTACACAGTTGAATATGTTAGAGTGTGCTTCGTCTGGCTTCTCTACTGCCAGTGTCAGCATAGAAGACAAGTCCCTGACATGGGCGATGTTCGTCAGCTGCATCCCTGAGCCTGGAATTGGAACCGGTCTGTCCCGGACGATTCCTGCATTGTGTATTTATCAATCAAAGTTAGAAACCTACATATCATTCTAAACAGTTGACAGGTTTAGAAAGATGTGTGGTCTTACGATCAAAGAACCACTCTTCACAATCTTTGTTGTTGCCGGATCCAATCATGTACTGTGGACGGAATATAGCCCAACTGCCGAAGACCTCTGCAATATATTTCTCAACACCAACATGACTAGCATTAGCATTCACAGTATCCTGTCATGGTAAATCATGCAGATTTATTAGCAGTTTGGAACTAAAAATATGTATTTATTCTATTATGGCTGGCAGGAACACGTTGAAATTGCAGCATTTACCCCTTCAACATGAGGAGGTTCGTCAGTTGGCTTATAAATTCCAGCACTGCTGATAAATAGAAACTGCTTCACGCCAGAGCTCTTTGCCCAATCAATCACAGGTCTGTGTCAGAAAAGGGGCCAAATTGCAGCTTAAATTTAATCTTACTGAAATCTTTGTGAAAAAGAGTAATCAACATGCCAGACAAACTAAATCATGTTGATTACTCTTTTTCATAAACAGCTAAATTACGTTTATTATTTTTCTTGGCACTTATAGCCAGGTTAAAAAGGTGGATTAATTTCAACAAAACAAGAAACCTATCCTAATATTCTATGGCATATAAAGAATAACAAATAATCCACAAGAAAGCATGAGAAAAAGTAGTAAATCTCAAGTGACAGACCCCACAGTTTCAACGTCCTTGCCATTGTTATCCAATACCACGTCAAATGAGGCCCCTGCCACGACCTTCCCAACTTCTGCAGGATCCCCCCATACAGTCTTCCCTCCGGCACTCACAATTTCCTGAACAACATTCCAAATTGCACAGACGGTTAAAAGATTAATCCAAGAAATTCCCATTGACCACCACCATTTCAAGTTCCCCGTCAGAGTAGAGTTGCAAAAAGGAAGTTGCTTGAGTAATTACTAACTGAGAATCTGTTAAATGGAGGCTTGTTCATCTTGTCCGAACCCTGTTCACCCACAGTGAGAATTGTGACCTCATGGCCGGAACCCAGAAGCTGTTTTGCAAAGTAGAAGCCAATTATGGCATGGCCGCCGCTGTTCGTATTGACAATCAAGACCTTCTTCTTATTCTGAGCAGAGGTAGCCCTGAGAGTGAAGGAGGAAACGTTGGAGGGTCTGGAAATGGAGGGGAAAGAGGGAAAAGAATGGGAGATGGAGAAAGTGGATGAGAGAGCAGAAGGGGAAGAGAGTGATAGACGTGGAAGATAAGGAGAAACAGAAGGTGGAAKATGGATGGAGGGCGTGGAGGAGAAGAGGGAACATGAAGAAGCAAGAGCAGCCATTCTGTGCCTGTGCTTTGCTTGATCGCGTGAGATGAGAACCAGCTGTTTCAGTTGTGTAGTTAGATATAATAAGATAACGCCCAATCATTTGCCATGCCCCATATACCATATACCACTCGGCTACTGTAAATATCATTTAAATCGATTTTTTATTATTATTATTTTACAACATGTGACATGGAGATACAGATATATATCAAATGGAAAGGTCAAAAGTTCGAATAAATTTGCGTATTCTAATCTAATGGGTGCCTGGTTAAATTTGTTTCTAATTTACTTACCAGATGAGCTGTCCGATCCGTTTGAATTTATGGGTGGGTCCCACTACTAGCGGTGAAAAGCTGAAGGATCCATAAAGGCAACTTGTTTTTAAGATCACATAAAATAAATTGAAATTAATAATTCAGACGGATTCGGAACGTTGGTTTGGGTTGCCTCTTATTTAAATCTTGAGAATCAGCTTAAAGTGAAAAGTCCCTTCTTTTAAGACTAGCCGTTGCGTTCATATTTTCTCTCTTTCATCTTTATCTTCCTCTTCCTCCTCCTCCTCCTCCTCCTCCTCTTTTGCTCTTGCCCATGGCGGCCTCTGTGGATTCTCCGTCGTCTTCACATCCCAACCACAACCAGGTTCTTCTTCTCTCTCTTTCTCTCTTCCAGTTCCACTTAACTGGACTCGTGTTTTTGGGTCTTCTTTTTCTGATGCATTTTCAGCAATCAACTATAGGGTTCGTCGCCATTGTTCAGTCCCGCTTCAGATAAGCGTTTCTGGAGCTCCCTTCAAGGTAGAGTAGAATCGCTTCTTGAGGAACGAAATGGAATTTCTTCAAATCAGGATCCTACCGTGCAAATAGTGAGTGCCTTCTCTCTTCGAGCCTTTTCCCCTTTTTTTGGGGTCGAGTTTTAAAATTGTGATGGGTTTGTTTGTGGGGATAGAATACGAGAAAATCGGAAAGGGCCAAGAGATTGAAGGAAGATTCTTTGCTTTTGCTGAGAGGTTTCGACTCTGTTGGCTATACTCTGTCTCAGCTGTCCAACAATTTGGATAACGCCTTGCAGGTAACAAATTAAACAAAATATGAAATAGTTACTGATGGATAAATTATATCAAATGCTCTTAAATCCAACAAACATATGTTGATTTTGTCGTCTGATTTCAGGGCGCTAGAGATCTAGTCAAGGCACCAACCTTGATGGAGATCTTCCACAGCAACCTCAAGGACTCGGAGGTTGAGGAAGATGATTCCATAAGGAAAGGAAATGAGTTGGTAGAGACCAAGCAAGCAACAAAGAGAAAATTTGATGACAGCCATTGCTCAGAAGAATTAGGGGATGATCTAGAGAAAAAAAACCAGCCAAACCCAAACGACAAGCTTAAGAAGGCCAAAAATGTTGGTTCCTTTTTCTCTCATTCATATCTGAATATAAATCATCATTCAGCCAGTTCTTTTGCGGTATTTTAACCTTTTGGCTTTCGTTTCTCCAGCTTGCAGTTACAATGGCAACAAAATCAGCCTCCCTAGCAAGAGAATTGATATCATTAAAATCCAATTTATGTTTTATGCAAGAGCGATGTGCCATACTTGAGGAAGAGAATAGGAGACTTCGCGATGGCTTCTCGAGAGGCATCAGACCCGAAGAAGATGATCTGGTCGGTATCGAACTTGTTATTATTCATTTTTTCTTTCTTCCCACATCTGTAAATTTAGGTGATTTATGTGAAGTTTGATTGGTGGTAAATCTGAATCAGGTCAGACTTCAAATGGAGGCATTACTTGCTGAGAAATCTAGATTAGCAAACGAAAATGCAAACTTGACCAGGGAAAATCAATGCCTTCACCAGCTTGTGGAGTACCACCAGCTCACAGCCCAAGATCTCTCTGTATCTTACGAGGAAGTTATTCAAGGCATGTGCTTGGACTTCTCGTCACCACCACCAGCCATTGCTGAAGAAGATGAAGAAGAAGAAGAAGAAGAAGAATGTGACAGTAATGACAAAGAAATCACTCGAACACCTAGAGCTGATCTTTGTAGCTTTTCGTCCTCTCTTGGTGAGCTCCACCAAGAAGAGTAGAGAGAAGTGATTTTGGACCAGAAGATGCAGTTTTGCTATTCTGTTTTTTTTTTCTTTTCTCATTTTACATTCCTGTAACTGAGTACCTTAATCTTCACTGCATTTAGTTTAGAAATAAATCCTTTTACTTATCAAACCAAAATTTCTAATAGCTCTAGGCTTCTGTGAGTGATGGCATGATAAGACTATAATCCTGTTTTCTTAACATATCAAAGCCTTACTGTAACACTCCATGCTTTGCTACCAGGTTCTGAAATTTGTGACGTGTGTAATCCAAGAGGGAAAAATCAAGTCCCATTTGTGTCACTAACTTTATTATTGAGCTCTGAGTCAAGAACTTATTTAAAAGATATCCCTGGTTAGATGTTTTTACTTTTTAATACCATATTGCATCATGTTTCAAACGGAAATTGGGAGGTTTTAGTGGTGAATAGTGGTACCGTTGCAACTACTTCCAAAACATATCACAAAAATAAAGATTCAGTGAGTTTTAGACATACTTAACAGCTTAATAACATAGTTGAGAGACGTTGCTCTCAAGTTGAAAAGAGAAGATAAGATGATGGTCTTTACAAATCCAATATTTAAACTCTGTTCACTTTGTTTTTGTCCTTTTCTTTCCCTTGGCTGCAGAGGTCTTGGCTTTTCGACCCATGCCTGAAGACATAGCCTCACGAATTGCTTGAGAAGAAGCATTGACGGCTGTTTCAGTAACTTTGGTGAGATTGGAGACTAACATCACATCCTTCAGTTTCTCCAGCACTTCAGAAAAATTTTGATTCCCTTTCTCATACTACACAAGCAAACCAAAAGAAAAACCCCCAATGAATTACTCTTAGGATTGAGGTAAAATTGTATCAACTACATGCACATGAAGCCATAGCAGATAAGGATTCCATAATTACAAAATCTCATTCTCAGAAACCTACAGCAAGATCTAAAAGACCTCTTAATTTCCATAAAAAAGTTCCCGAATTCCTTATTTCATTAGTTGAGAGAGAGAAAGAGGAGGGGAGATACATGCAATAAAATTGTTCAAGAAGTGTACCGCACCAGCACCAAGATAAGTAATATATTGCAGTAGTAAAACATGATGATACAACAGAACAAGCAGAATTTCCCATCTAATCTAAGAAAATAAAGGAAGTAAAAGATTTAGCTTCTGGAAAAAGCATAATTCATGAACTAGATGGACTGATGAAGACACTAATGGATGAGACTGACTATCCCAAAAAGACTTTTGATCTACTGGTACAAACAACTYGGTTACAGAGTTATATCGTTCAAAGGTTACCAATTGTTATGTACAAAGCATGGAATCGAAGGTACTTACTGCTTCAACTTTACAAAGGGCAGTTTCCAACTTCTGAGTAAGCTGCTGGTTTTCATCCATTAAGGTTTGAACCTGGCATGAATCGATAAGGTACCATTTCTAGATAAATGGATGAGAATCGAGATTCATAAACACAACAGGAAAACAATGAAATAGACCTTTTTTTGGGATTCAATATATAAGCTCTTGTATCTAACCTCTGTTGGTGATAAGCTTTCACTCAGCAAATTCTTTGAGGCATTGAACAACCAATTAAAACTAATCATAGAGCTGAGTAAATTAAAAACATATAATGTCAATTAATATGCTTTAGTACCTTAGTTTTCAGTACCTTTATGGCTCTTCCTTGAGTTTCTAGYAGTTTAACTACATAATCAATTTTTCCATGTAAGTTTTGTTCACATGAGGTTGGCTCATCTAATTCCTTTTCGCCCTGAGCTAGCGGCTCATCTTCTTTTTCACTATCACTAACAGCTATTTCTTCAACCACAGGTTCTATATCACGATTTTGATACGGCTGAACAACATTTTGAATTCGTTCGGACCGCCGGATAACAGAAGGATAGGACTTCTTTGCCCTCTTCTTTGAGGAAGATGAACCAGATGTCTTTTCTCGAACCCGCAGTTGTGATCTCGTCTTCTCAATGGAAGGATTGAGTTGTTCAGGACTTGGCAGTTGTGACCTCATTTGCAACAAGGATGGATTTGTGCCTCCAGGCCTTGGTTTTGAAGTTCTTTCAAATAGTTCTAGTAAGTTGCCCAAGCCAAGTTAAAATTAATCTGGTCCTGGTCATATCAAACAGACATAAATATAGGGGGAAATAGAGAAAAGAAAACATGGGGGAAGCAAAAAAACACTGAGACCTATCAAAAGCATGTCCCAACTAGTTCAAACCACTAAACCATAGAGAGAGAGCTGAGAATGAAAGGAACTCTGAGACCTCACACAAACACCGCCGTGGTTGAGACTGATTCAGAGAGCTTCCTCCTTCCCATTCTAATATTCCCTTTATTCTCCTAAAACTCAAAGACACAATCTTACTTGCATATCAGAGATTCAGGAGCTAATCAACCCTAAGAGCGAAGTGCTCCTGTGTGRTACGAAGGAATAAAAAAACCCATCTTTTTTCCTTGTTAAAACCCGAAACAGCACCGTTTCATCAAAAACAGGTTACAGGAGTAAAGGAAACAAGTTCATAGAACTTTTGCAGGCACATGCACCACACTATAACTAAAATAAGCCAAGTACAAAACTAGTAAAGCAGAAACTCTCCAGAAAACTCAAACTTGTTTAGGAAAGACAAAAGTATACCAAAGAAAATAAGTAGTACAACTTGGAAAGGAAAAAGGAAAAAGAATGAAGCACCTGTGTTAAGATGGAGAAGAGCAGAGAAGAGAAGAGAAGGAGGTGGTGATGGCAAAGTGTAGTTAAGAGTTGACACAGAGGCAGCGAAACCGTCTTCTCATCAGACCTCTCTGTTACTCCTACTCGTTACACTGACCAAACTATTGAACCTCGTTATCGGAAACAAATTTTATTCTAATAAAATTGTTTTATCTAAATTCCCAACTCTCAGATTAAATGCATATTATATATAATTAAAATTTTGATAAATAAATAGTAAATACTGTTAATTGAAAAATAAGGCTGAGCATGGTTAATTGAAACGTTTCAACACAAAACACAGAGTTATGCACTCAACCACTGTACTGTATACCAAAACCAGCAGCACTGACCTCACTTTACACACACGTGTGAGCTTCTCATTGCTATTCCTTTTTTTTTTTTTTATTTTAATTTTAGCTTCCATCGAAGCAAATATTTTTTGTTGTTAAAAATTAGATTTTTATAAAATTTGTGCTCTGGAAAAGAAAAAGGATAAATCAAAATCTCTAATTCTTTATTAAGTTATTTTAAGGAATCTTAGCTCCTAAATGGAAGAAACGACACTGCTCAAAAAAGAAAAGAAAGAAAATCCCTGCAATCTAATCTATTCAATGGCCGCCTAGCTTCTTCGCCACTTCAAGCGGATAAGATGTTATTTGAAGGCGCCAATTTTGTCTGATAAGCAGAAGCGGAAGCGGAAACTGCTGCTTGACATTCCACTTCTCATGGAAATGCTGCTCCTCCACCACAATTCCCTCTTCCGCATTCCTTCCTCCCCTATCTTCTCCAAACCAGTTCCTTCCTTCGTAATTCACCCCCCTCTTCTTAAGACCTCCCTTCGTCGACACCCTCGTTTTCCCGTTAACTCAGTTTCGCCGAACCCATTTCAATCCAGCGAATCGATTCCTCAAAACCCAGAAAAGCAGCAACCTAGAACTCTATTCCCAAGTGGGTTTAAGCGGCCGGAGATCAAAGTCCCCAGTGTGGTGCTGCAATTGGATGCAGCGGAGGTATTGGGTGGTGGCGATGCGTTGGATTTGATCGATAGGGCCGTGGCCAAGTGGGTTGGGATCGTAGTGCTCAATAGTTGCGAAGGCGGTGGTGGGAAGCTCTACGAAGCTGCCTGTAAATTGAAGTCGGTGGTCGGGGACCGAGCTTATTTGTTGATTGCCGAGCGTGTCGACATTGCGACTGCGGTTAATGCTAGTGGTGTTCTCCTCTCTGATCAAGGTTGTACAAAACAAACTCTCTGTCGCCATAAGTTATTCGTCGCGTCAGATTTTAGATTGTGCATTTTTATGTTTAAAATAAACTTTAAACTTCAGCAAAAATTTTGATAAGGCACCTGCTTAACAGTTTAGAGCATATCGAAGGCATCTATTTATGTAGCCAGCATGGGATGGGAAATATTCAGTCTGCTTTGCTATACATAGAATATATGATATTTATAATTTTTAATCGAAGGAAATTAAAAGAAAAAAAAACTACTTTGTTTGTATATAAGACATTTTCTTCGCAACTGTCACTTGGAAGCTGTTGGATGGATTTGATGGGTAATCTGTTTCCCCATTTGAATCAGGTCTTCCTCCTATTGTGGCCAGAAACACCATGCTGGACTCTATACCAGATTCCCTGTTTCTACCTCTGGTAGCAAGGAACGTAAAATCCTCGATTTCTGCCGTAAATGCATCCAAATCTGAAGGAGCTGATTTTCTCTTGTACGATGTTGGTGAAGAGAAGCATGATGTGACAACAAATTCTGTGTTTAACAATGTAAAGATACCGATATTTATACTATTTTCCTCATCTGGAGAGAACACAATGTTTCACGAGGCATTAAAATGGCTAGAATTGGGTGCAAGTGGCTTAGTAATCTCTTTGCAAGGTTTGAGGCTGCTGAGCGATGATGTTCACAGTAAAGCATTTGACTCTATATTTACAGAAAATGGAATAAAGGAGGACGATTTTGAAAGTGCCAATACCTCTGATCTATTGAACCTGGACAATGGTTCTCTTGGAACGACACAAATAGCTGGATTTGTTAGATTGGAGGATAGAGAAAAACAAGTCATAGAAACAGAGAAATTAGTATTGCGTCAGGCTATAAATATTATTCAGAAAGCTGCTCCACTGGTGATCATTTAATTAAGCCATTTGGTAGTTGGTTTTCAAATTACATTCCAAGTATCTTCCTTTTTTACCTTTTTCTTTTTGGGATATGATCTACATTTTCTCATTCCAAGATGGTTCTAAATGGCAGATGGAGGAGGTTTCGCTTCTCACTGATTCAGTTTCACAAATTGATGAGCCATTTATGCTGGCTATAGTGGTAATTGTGTGCTGAACTTCAACAATCTCTGGTTGCAGGATATACATTGGTATTAGCCCTAATTTCAAATAAATTCAATTTTTTTTTTTTCATTTGAAAGAATCTAGAAGTGGACCGGCTTTTGCCAATTCTTTTTTCATTTTTTGGGTTTGAAAATTATAGAAAGAATGAAGGAACTTTTTCCTTGTATGCTGAAAATTTTCTGTCTTTTATACCTGGGTCTAGACGTGAATCCTCTTTCCCTGCTAATGTAACCTCTGAAGCATTTTGATTTATATATGGTATTTTATCATGAGGGATCGGCAAGCCAATTTTTATTGTTTCATTCTACCATTTGGGTAATTATTGAGTCATACGACGACTCATTATTGTCCAATTTTATACAAATATTTCCATGTCATCCACCTCCTTATGGGATTTAGTAGATGAAAAAAGAATTACCAACAATTTCCAACTTACGGGGTGTCTTTAATCTACTTTCCACATTATTCAACTGAGACATTAGTTTGAAAAATGATATTTTTGTCAAGGCCTTCGCCTTGATTATTTTTCTTTTCGCTCTATTTTCCCCTTCAGATATCAATATGTATTATTTTCTCAACCAAGGGGAAACCAACATTATCTTCTTAACAAGCCATCGTTTTGTTTTCCTATGTATCATCCCTTAAACATTGCTTTAAATCTTTAACCAACTGAGGGAGTCCTAGTTTCCCTTGGTAATGATATTTACCTCTTTGCTTTATGCCGTAGACTTTCTTGGCCTATTTTATCAAGTCTTGTGCTTTTTTTTTTATGTGACCAGGGTGAATTTAACTCTGGAAAATCAACAGTTATTAATGCACTTCTTGGAAGGAAATATTTAAAAGATGGTGTTGTTCCTACGACTAATGAGATAACTTTCTTAAGGTTCTCTGAGTTAAATTCTAGTGAACAACAACGGTGCGAACGACATCCAGATGGTCAATATATATGCTATCTTCCTGCTCCCATCCTTAACGAAGTGAGTTTACACATAATCTCGTCTTGACTTGGGAAGGGATCTCCTCCTCCCTTTTGTTTCTCATATGTTATATTCTTTTTGTGATGAATGGTCTCTTCCACACACTCGAAGATCTTATCATTAAAATAAAAAATCTTATGGTCTCTTCCACACACACACACAAGAAAAGATGGAACGGTTCTTTTGACTTATTATCCACTTTTGAAGTCTCATCTTGAGAGTTCTTGTTCTTGTCGTCRGAAGAAAAATAATATTTTTCTCTTTCATATGCTTAGAGAACATGTGTCCACGCACACACGCATGTTCATCATGTATGTTTATTGTCATGATCGATACAAAGTGTTTATATTTACCAATCATGAATTGTTGTTGCAAGGTTAAACAAGTTTAGTCTCTGTACTTTCAAGTTTGTGTCTAATAGGTTCCTGAATCTTAAAAAGTATCTAATAATTTCCTAAACTTTCAACTTTAGATCTCTAAATTTTCAATGTTGTGTCTAATTAGTCCCTAAACTTTAAAAAGTGTTTGATAGACCCCTTAGCTTTCAATTATATATCTAATAGGTCCTTGATTTATTTAACATTTTTTAATAGTAAGGAATCTATTAAACGTAAAATTAAATTTTGTATCTAATAGGTCCACGAACTTTAGAAAATGTCAAATAAGTCGATGACTATTAGATGTAAAATTATAAGTTCAAAGACCTCGCGGACACAATGGAAAATTTTGGAATTTATTAGATACTTTTTAAAGTTTAACCATTTTGTAGACACAAAATTGAAAGTTCAAGAACTTACTAAGTTTTAGGTACTTATTATATACAAACATGAAAGTTCATACTGAACTTACAATTTAACCTTGTTGCAATATATGCTTTATATAATAGAATATACCCAGTGGAATTGTTATTCSTATTTGCTTTCATGTTATGTTGACATGAGTTTATTCTCCATGAACTACAGTTGCTTACCTCGTAAGGAACTGGTCCTATAAAGCTCAAAGGATACTAAGTGACGTATACTAATTTAATACTTTACCCAACGCATGAGTTTGAATAATGCTTATTTTAATTTCACCACATTTTATCTATTACCTTGGTGTATATCTATTGGTTTTTCAAGGAACGCAGAAGTAGTAATGAATTTACATTTGTAAATTAAAATTTAGTTAGTTGTTTCCAAAATACTATTTATAAGTTTTACAAAAGACTACTCTATCAGCGTGTTTTTCCGAGTAGTTCATATTGCATGCCTTCATTCTATTGTCAGCAACAGACTTTAGAGCACTCAGCCGGTTGGTTTGCAAGGCATTGACAAGAAACTTTGAGTGATTACATTTACATTATATCCATCCATTAGGATGCCTATGTGTGTGTGCTTGTGAGTAGATTTATACTTGCATATGAATGTATGCGTGCACATTTTGTTGCATATTCGCTTATTAACGTGTGTTAACTTATGTATAATTAGAGTATTTCTATCCTTTTGAATGCAGATGAACATTGTTGATACACCTGGAACTAATGTGATTCTTGAAAGGCAACAACGCCTAACGGAGGAATTCGTGCCTCGTGCAGATTTGCTGCTTTTTGTCATTTCTGCAGATCGCCCATTGACTGAGAGTGAGGTATGAACCATTAAATTAATCATTCTATTTTGTGGCTTGCTATTTATGGCCTGCTGTTAGGACCTCAATCATGCCCTGTTAACTGTAAAGACCACCATTTTGTTACTTATATAGTTGCTACTTGTTACATATTACTCGTAGTTAGGAAGAAAATTATGGAGCAAGCATTTAAGGAGCCTGTAACGTGGAATACAACATTTATACCTTTACAAATTACAAGGGTCGTAGTTGGTACTGGATTGAATGGCTTCAACACATTTGAACAAAATCCCCTATATTCTTGAAGATAAAGATGGACATTGTGGATCCTTTGTTGCCAACAAGTTTGATACAACTTTAGTGGATAACAGCTGGTTCTAAAATCACCTATGGTTTACTTTCAGGTTAATTTTCTTCGTTACACGCAGCAGTGGAAGAAGAAAGTAGTGTTCGTGTTGAATAAATCTGACCTTTATCAGAATAGCCACGAGGTTAACTTAAAAAGTGCTTGTTTTCTTGATCTTACATAAAGTAATTATTAGATTCATTCCGAGCTTTGTTTTAACCTAGTAATTTTTCTGGCTTGGTTGCAGCTGGAGGAAGCCCTATCCTTTGTCAAGGAAAATGCAGCAAAATTGTTGAATACTGAACATGTCTTAGTATTTCCAGTATCTGCAAGATCTGCTCTGGAAGCAAAGCTTTCTGCTTCTCTGGATAGTGGAGAAGTCTTATCGCTCTCTAATTCTCATTGGAGAAGCAGTAGCTTCCACAAAATTGAAAGTTTCTTGTATAGCTTCTTAGATGGGTCAACGAGTAATGGAAAGGAAAGAATGAAACTTAAACTCCAAACACCGGTTTCAATTGCAGAACGACTACTTTCTGCCGCCGAAACTCTTGTGAGACAAGATATACGTTTTGCCAAACAGGATTTGGCATCAGTAAATGAATTGGTAGATGATGTAAGAAATTATGGAATGAAGATGGAAAGCGAAAGCATCACTTGGAGAAGACAAGCTTTATCACTGGTATATACCCATTCAAAATTTCAACTTTCAATCGTTCTTTAGGTAGAAACATGAGCTTTTTTTTTCCCTATCTTTATTTACTGTTCCAGTGAAAACTGCAGATTGATTCTACCCAATCACGTATTATGAAGCTCATAGAATCCACTCTACAGTTATCGAATTTTGATCTAGCTGCATTTTACTTCTTGAAAGGGGAAAAGAATACCACTCAATCAGCTACCTCAAAGATTCAAAATGACATTATTTCCCCAGCACTATCTGATGCACAAGTAACAATTTTTTAATACCAGCTTTTCTGCGTTTTGAATTGTTTAGTCTTTGCTTTGATGTTTGGTCTGACAATTCTTTAATCATCAAGAAACTTCATGTCTTCTATTTGTGGTTGAAGATTTTCTGAAGCTTTCTTGATCGTCCATGCCGTTTTCTTGACTCCCTAACTTCTCTGATTTTTCTTAATTTATGTTGATGGCTTCTAGAAACTTCTCCAAGACTATGAATCTTGGCTGCAATCAGGTAATACTCATGAAGGAATAGTGTACCAGGAATCCTTGCAGAAACTTTGGCCATCTATTGTTTTTCCGGCTACACAGAAGCATTTGGAKACCTWTGAGTTGCTGAAAAAAGTAGACGATCTAAGCTTGAAAGTAGTTAAGGACTTCAGTCCAAGTGCTGCTTCCAAACTGTTTGATCAAGAAATTCGAGAAGCGGTGAGAGGTTCTTCTTAAGCCATATCGATCATTTTTAAGTAGAAAGGTGGAAATTTTCATCAATGATTATGATTTTTCCTTCCTTTTGTAAGGACATGGATATGGTACAATGCTTAAAGCGGATATTTGCATGCTCATTTTGAAAACTCCTGTATTTTTCAGGAGTTTGAAAAGAATTTTGCATAAAATTTCCACATTAGCAGCCGTTTTTTTTTTTATTTTTTTAATGGATGGTTGTCTTTGGAATGTTGGTTCATAAATATATATTCAGATGAAATTAGTGGTTCGTTTCTAATTTGTTCATGAGTTAACCTGTCATAGGCAAATTAGTAATCTGTAGTTACACTTGTAACTGATAAGATTTATCATCAAACATCGTGGTATGTGTTTTTTAATATATTACATTTTCCAACTTCAGTTTTTGGGAACGTTTGGTGGACTCGGGGCAGCAGGTTTATCTGCTTCGCTTCTAACTTCAGTACTTCCCACCACAGCAGAAGATCTTCTTGCTCTTGGCCTTTGTTCTGCTGGCGGGTAATGTGCATCTTCCTTTGACCTCATTCAGTCTTTATTCCTTAAACATAGTTCCATGTATTTTTATAGCCAAAGCCAGCTCGTCCCAACTTCCCTTTCCCATAATTACCAATCCATGCTGACTATAGATCATGACCTCGAAATCAAGTAACCGATAGTGATGAGATATACAAAATGAGCTTCCAAAGTATTACACAAAAACGTTGTCCCGAGGACAATCCCATTGGCAAGGGTTTGGGGTCTCTTGGTCATATCAGTTTAGAGTCTCAAATTCAAACCTTTCGGTGAGCTTAATACAAAAAACCTTTGATGTCTCCCGGGTGCCCCTAGGTATAGGGGAGCAAAGCTACGACTTAAGTATTACACAAAAATGTCCAAAATTCTAATTGAAGGAGCATACTTACGGAATTCCTTGGAACAAGAAGCAAGAGAGGAATCAAACAAAAACGTTGTCCCAAATTTCGCTCCCAACCTCTAGTTTCCTCTCAAAAGACACCCACTTCTTTAGGTACCCAAAAACCAGCTACTGTTTGAACTTTGATTATTTTATTATGGTCAACCTCTCCGGAAAGCCTCTAAATGCTATATTTAGATGCCTCCATTGGAAGTCTCCATGGTATTGGTAGACCCTCCAGTTAGGGTGGATTAAACTGTAACTTAGGCACTGTATTTCTTACTGAATACGCACCTTAGCCATTTTGACTTGTATCTTCTGCAACTTTTTACAACTATGCATTCGGAGGAATAATTTAACTTTAATGGGAATATCTGAACTTCTGATGAGCTTTTTATTGTCCGTGATAGGTTTTTGGCAATTTCAAACTTTCCAAGTCGTAGGCAACAGTTGATAGATAAGGTGAAAAGAACAGCGGATGCATTTGCTCGAGAACTTGAAGCTGCTATGCAAGAGGATCTCAATGAAGCAGTTAGAAATTTGGAAACCTTTGTGAGTGTCATAAGCAAGCCGTATCAAGATCAAGCACAAAATAGGTTAGACAAACTATTGGAGCTTCAAGACGAACTGTCCAATATCGGGAAAAAGATAGAAAAGCTACGAAACGAAATTCAAAATCTTCACGTGTTATGACTAAAAGAGCCATATTTTTGTTAGAATTGTACCATATTTCAAGGGTCTCCTTTGTCTCAGACGTTAAATGTAATGATGCCATCTTCAAAGTATAATGTTCATCTCCCTGATCCTTTTTTTTTTCTGGATTCCCTGTTAGGTAATGGCAACAGCTCTTAGAGAGGACAGTATTTATTTATTTTTTTAATATCTTCTCTTTTTCACARTTTATTTCAACATCTACGGTCTACAGCGTGGGATGTATCTCCATAAGACATCAGGATTTGAGCAAGGCTGGAGAGTTCTCAAAATTTGATATGGAAATTTCATTGCAGATTTATCAACTAGATTTCTACAATGGTGCCACTGCCTGGTATTTGGTGATGAGCCTTATATTAATGGAATCTTCAAAGCACAAATATTATTGCAAATTTTTGTTAGAAAAACCATAATATACTAGACGCAAACAATGAAAGGTTCTGATATAGAACTGTGTTCTCTTCTTTTTATTTTATTTTTTATTTYTGGCTAAAAAAAGAAGAAAAGTGGAGAGACCAACAAGGTCAAAACGCTATGRACATTATTTTGATTCCTTCACCTTTTTGGTCTGATTCCTTTAACTTTCTGGTTTAAGATCCTTTGAAAAGTCTATGGTAAATAAAAACACAGTTAATACAAGACAAATAATCAAACATAGGCTTTAATGTTTCTTGACCCTTGTTATCATTTGGGGGGCAAAGCTAGGCAAAGATGTCTGAAAGTTAGCCTTTATGTAATGGAGGGGTTTTAATTTYTTAGTGAGATTGGTCAATCTATATTAAAAGCAAACAAGTTGGATGGTGAAAGAAAGTATATGATGGTTTGGGGGCCATGGGCTTTTGCCTTTTGGAAAGACTCTTTCTTTCTTAATAGTAATCTTAGAGTTATATTCCATGCAAAAGGTAGGATTTGTCACACGGACAAACATGAAATGGCATGAGGTATTCAGGTTTTGTGAAGCATATTCATAAGCACTTGCCTTTTCCAAATTTGAGAAATCGGTTGAACGAGATCATCTCTTAGTATATGAAACAATTTTGTTGGAGAAAGAGAAGTTGGTAAAGAAAAGGTGTAATTGTTCTTGTTGCATATGTATAGGTAAACTGTGATGACGGACGGCTACCTAATTAAGCCCAAAATATGTAATTAGTGAATAAGTTTAGTAACAATGGTGGCATTAAATATGAACAGGCGATGACACATAAAAGACCAATCACATGTGAGAAGAGAAGAGAAGGGTTTCCATTTCCAATATCAGAAGATGCAGGTGCTGGCAAGTGGCTTGCAGAGGAATGGTTTCTTTTCTTTGGAAAAGCCTTTTCAGTCAACAACTCTTCTGTTCAGTAAAGTTAGTTTCTTTGCTCTCTTTTGGTTTTTCAAGTTCCTCTCATTTTCAATCATGACAATGCTTTGCATGTCTCTGTGAAACAACTTTGATTTTTCCTTACTACGTTGGTTGTACAAATAATACACGTAAGATCCAAAATGGCCGCTCCCTCACCCAGCTTGGAAGTTGTATCCCTAAACTTTAACTAATAAAATATTTACAGAATGAAGATGAACAGTTGATTGGATTCTGTGGTTTTGTGGGAAGAAAACTTCATCCTCCATAGATTAACTGTGGTCCTGGGAGTTTATACGCAACCCATGTTAGACGTTCAAAAGCTGTCAGAAAGTGGTATTATAAGCTCTGATGTTGCTTTCTGTAATACTACAATGGTGCATGTGGTGGGGTTTGAGGAGCACAATTGAGATGAAAAGAAAAGTATGAGAGGTCGAGCAGGGCAGTTGGGCTCAACTTTCTTTGTTGGTCGGTTGAGATTGTTCAGTTAATCATAGGCTGAGGCTGAGAGGTATGGCCACTAAAACCACAGTCGACCATCAGAAACTTTAGTTTAGATAACTCAATCATGAAGTTACTTTGGGATGACTGACTTTGGTTGGGTTTCACACTTCTAAAATAATGAAAAGAAAACAAGGACAAATTCTCAAATTCTTATGAGAACTAAAAGCCCGTGGAGGGTTGTTTCAGAATTAATCTCGCATATTATCTGAGAGTCGATAATAGGAAGAAAAKAGAATTGTAAGGGGTTTGTTTTGCTTGATTTGCATTTTGTTTTAGGTAAGTATAAAGATCCCCTCCCCTCCCCTAACTTGAGTTACATTATGGTATGGGTTTAATTAATTCGTTGGACACACGTACGTTTGTTTGTGCATTATTTGATGAAGATTGAGACTTGTGTACATTTGTAGAGTTTGGCCCTACACAGCTCCTCAACTTAGGGTTCTTCACAACTATAAATTCCTGTCATTCCCCTTTCTTTCCTCTCCACCCCTGGCCCTGCACCTGCCTGCATGTTCCTTATCTCTCTCTATCTCGCTAGTTTCAACACAACTTGAATTTTTGTCACTAAAATCTCCCCTGTTTTGGTGTTCACTCATTCGCCCTTCCTCTTGTTAAGAATATGGCGAACTGGAATAAGAATGTCCATAAAGAAGGTGAGGAAGTGGAAGAAAATTGGAATAGGAACAGAGGTGAAGATTGCAATGGAAATGGAAGTGGAAATGAAGAAGAGAAGGCGTACGTTCATGGTGGGTGTGGGTGGTCCAGGACGACGACGAGGCTGAGCAAGAAAAGCTTGGAAATGTGCACCGAAGGGTTAGGGAGCGAGAGCGGGAGCGACATGGGTGATGACATGTGTTTGGAAGTGGAT